GTATTGACATTTGCACAAGAGGCCAGTTAATGTTATTTTCCGAGTCGATGCAGCGATCTCATCGAGAATACTTGAACAGTTCAATTTGATCTGGGTGAGCAAAATCCAATTTCAGAAGCGCAGCAAGGTAATGCAGTTGGTTCGGAGCAGAGGCGACGCTGGTCTCTCATGACTGTTCTCTATGTTTGTGTAAGTATCATATGCTATATCTGTGGTTGCCAAGTCGTGCTAACTCCAACATGGGCTAGATTCGCTGCATCGGAATACTATATTCCATGTACGTTGCGATGCTAACTATATTACACTACACTGTGCTAATGAGCCATCTCACAACCAGCGTCTACATAGTCGGTATGTGTCGAGTCAAATATGTTCGTTTCTTCTGACTAGTGGCATGCAGTGAATCTCCCATTCTCGATCACAGATTTGGTGGGTACTACTTTTCACCGCTGCTATGCCCAGTCAAGTACCAATGCACTCCTACATAGGAGTGAGTGATATTTCAGCCGACTTGTTTGTTCAACATAACGACTGTAACAGCTGTAAGTTTATGAGAAGTATCAAATCACTAGTGCGGATCGCTCAGTGAGTTTTCCAGGCTATATCTTTTTTTTCATGCAAGTATGGATACCAGTCGTCGTCAATGCCATGCTAGGGGGTGAGCTCCGCTGGATCCTTCATTCATGTTTAACTGACTGAAATGCCATTCAAGTCATCATGATGACTCGGATCCGTGCCATGTATCAGGGATCCAAAAACATGTTTATCTTCCTCGGTGTAGTCTTACTGACATGCACAATCGCCACCGCGGTTATGACGGGAATAGGAAACATCAAAGCTTCAGCGGGTGAGTTTCAATTACAGATGAAAGCCTTCAGCACATGAAACTCATGCACTAATCCCAGAGGAGGTTGTCCTTTCCGGCAACCGTATGTGTCTGAGTCTCGGCATCAGTGACACACTGAATCAGGAGATCTTCATACCCACCCTTCTATGGGAGATCATTGCATTATTACTCGCTATCAGGATTTTTATCAAACATATCCGTGAACTACAACAATCAAAATCAGAATCAACCATTAGAGACTATTTTACAGCGCTGATAAGAAGTCATCTGCCATACTTCGTAGGGTGAGTCCGGTAATCTGTGAGTTATTATCTTGTTTCACTGAAGCTTCGTGTATGCTAGCTTTGTTGCTGTGACTTGCTTCAACCTTGGCACACTATCTCCCGTTTCGGTGCGACGATGTGCTACTGCATTTGACCACTTGCTGATCACCCATCATTTCCACAGGACCCAATTACCACGGGATCTGGCATTTATTATGGCATATTCCAAATCGCCCAGTTTGTGCAGATGTTTGTGCTGGGACCACGTCTTATCCTTAGCATCCGGGATTATCACGCTGAGCTGATAAAAGAATCTGAGGAAGGAACTGGCTTGACTTCAATCGCTTTTCAGGAGTGCGGACACATGTCAACCAGCGGAAGCATGTAATACGGGAGATGTGCAGGGGGCATATCTGGTAATTCCGAAGTTTAACAATTTGGACAAGTCGATGCCAAATTGCGTCAGAACTGGAGCTGATTGTCCAATGATACATGTACAGTTGTATTTCATCTTTCGCAACGGCGATGCATGCGAGTTGCAGGTTCATTTTTCGGCCAACTGCGACAAGACACCTGACGTATAAGTAGAACGTGACAGGTGCGACGGGTTCGGAATCTCCATGAGTGTAGCCTTCACATCTGGTACTTTGAAGGTGGTATTATCTTCTTATTTCTTCACAACAAGACTTTGTTGTCCGACTTGAATGCACGAATAGTCTTCACCGTCACCTACGCCACAGTCAGGACAAGGAAGTGCAGGCCTGGATGCACCCACAGGGCTTCACTAAATTGTACTATCAAATTTCGTTGCCACCTACACTAGTTCGTAAGGCGTGTCTCGTGAGAAGAGCTGAGCATTGAGATTCGCCGGCTCGGATTTCTTGATCGCGATAGGTTCGCTAGCAGACGGTGGAGCATATCTTCAAAACCTTAAGAACAGATTGCGAGGATGAAAAAGACACAGAGCAGCGTTGCCGAAGAGGTGAGGGTCAAAGTCAATGATGGATGGATTGTGGAGGATTCAGCAGGATTAATACCGGGAGCAACATTGGGTCTTGGCGCAGGGAGCTACTCGAGCTAGTACGTTGGCGAGGTGGCAGGCTGCCCAAACCTTGACGCCTCTCAGGCTGTTCTTGTGTAGTGGAATGGAAGTGTTCATGAGCTGGGTGCTTCATCTGCGGACGGACTCTGATAGCTCAAGCCTGGTCGGGTTGGGTAAGCTCGGTGTGGAGAGCTTAAAGCTTGAGGAGCGTGTCAAAGCCTTTTCTTAGGAATTCGTCATTGAAAGCGAGTCATTTGTGCAGGGTTCCTCCATACACTGAACCACCGCGACGATGATGAGATGGTGTGCTTTCAACCTGAAAACTTGAAGATCCCTAGTGTTCTTACGTAATGCCACTTAATCGGATTTCGCTGGCCAGCTTGCCTTGTTAAACTGAAGCTGATCATCAATGGCACTAGGGATCGTACTGTGATGCTCATTCACAATACATATGATGGACTGACTTACTGTTCTACATGTAATGCTAAATATATCTTTCTCTGTCTCGAGCTTCCAACGAGCACTTATTGAATTTGGACTGATCCAGTCAAATATCATGTCAAAAATGGTAGCGGTAAAAACACGATGATGGTGCCGGTTATTGCGACCTTCAAGGTTGAAGCGATTGAATCAAATGCGCTTTTTACACCTGGGATCCCTAGACTACTCCCTACCTCAACGTTAACTGGCTTTTTGTCTGGATATCCTTGCCTGATGTGACTTAGCCTATGTGCATACGGCGGCACAGACTGCACACACTGGTGGCACTGCCTTGTGTGATTCAGAAATCTGAGTTTGAAATGCACACTCCGCTTGTGATGCGCTTGTCCACCTCAACTTAGAACCTCCATCACCCACCAGTCTACTACACAACTAATTCACCATGGAAGAAGAAGTAGCTGCCCTCGTATGTTTAATCCCATCGTAGTTTTTAGCCCCGTACAAAACGCTCAATTTCTTGCGTCGTCAGGTCATCGATAATGGATCCGGAATGTGCAAGGCTGGCTGTTAGTTTCTCTTCGATCTACGTGTTTCACCATCTGATAAGCATCTTCGCAGTTGCTGGTAATTCAAGGCCGCTATTCGGGCTATGATGATACAAAACTAATCGCATCTCATTAGGTGACGATGCTCCCCGCGCCGTCTTCCCGTACGTTTAGATCGTATATCATCACCAGTGATTCAGCACTCACACAGACTTACAGCTCCATAGTTGGTCGTCCGCGTCACCAGGGTGTCATGGTCGGCATGGGCCAGAAGGACTCTTATGTTGGGTAAGCCTTGGCGATCTCATTCAAGCTTTCACTTAATTTAATCCACGCAGTGATGAGGCTCAGTCCAAACGTGGTATCTTGACCCTAAAGTACCCTATCGAGCACGGTATCGTCACGAACTGGGATGACATGGAGAAGATCTGGCATCACACATTCTATAATGAGCTTCGTGTGGCCCCGGAGGAGCACCCCGTCTTACTCACTGAGGCTCCCCTCAACCCCAAAGCTAACCGTGAAAAGATGACTCAAATCATGTTCGAGACGTTTAATGCACCAGCATTCTATGTCGCCATTCAAGCCGTCCTATCATTGTACGCGTCTGGTCGTACCACTGGTATTGTCATGGACTCTGGTGACGGTGTCACCCACACGGTTCCTATCTACGAAGGTTTTGCTCTGCCTCATGCTATCCTCCGTCTCGACCTTGCTGGTCGTGATCTTACCGACTACCTGATCAAAAACTTGATTGAACGCGGTTACTCATTCACGACGACTGCAGAGCGTGAAATCGTTCGTGACATCAAGGAGAAGTTGTGCTACGTCGCCCTCGATTTTGAGCAGGAGATGCAGACTGCCGCTCAGTCATCGGCGCTTGAGAAGAGCTACGAGCTGCCTGATGGTCAAGTCATCACCATCGGGAACGAGCGGTAAGTTGATTTTACGCTGATTACTGCGCTGTCTTAACTTATAAAATCACAAGATTCCGTGCACCTGAGGCTCTCTTCCAGCCTGCATTCCTTGGTCTCGAAGCTGCTGGTATCCATGAGACCACGTAAGAGATCATTTACAAAGAGACGCGACGTGATTTACCCTCGTCCCAGGTACAACTCGATCTTCAAGTGCGATCTTGATATTCGTCGCGACTTGTATGGAAATGTTGTGTTGTCTGGTGGTACTACGATGTTCCCTGGTATTGCCGACCGTATGCAGAAGGAGTTGACATCACTCTCGCCTTCGAGCATGAAGGTTCGTCTCAATATTTTTGTACAGTCGTAATTCTCATTCGTGGACGCTTGATAGGTCAAGATCGTCGCTCCACCTGAGCGGAAATACTCTGTCTGGATCGGTGGCTCTATCCTCGCTTCGTTGTCCACTTTCCAGAACTTGTGGTGTTCAAAGCAGGAGTACGATGAGTCAGGTCCTGGTATCGTTCATCGCAGTACGTGTCTCTCGTTCTATGACTATGCTGCTTCTCAATTACCTCCGCAACAGAGTGCTTCTAATGTAATAAATGAAGTGGCCGCGTGTACGATGTACTAGACTAACATTGCTATTGATTCCTAGTAACACTTTTCAGACATCGGCTGGAGGAGTACTGTTGGTAGATACGATACGTATTTGGAGGAAAACCCGTTTATCCTTTCTGCAGACGGTAGTCAATTTCGTAATAAAAGTGAAAGTTGAATTATGATTTGAATGACATAGTATGCTTCAGGTTGGATCTGGAAGCGCTGCAGCATAGCATCCTTGAGGCAGACATGTCTGATAAACTTCCAATAGTTTGTGTCTTGCAACAAGCCGTGGTCTGGGCCTCAGCGACCGGTGGGACTGAATCCCTTTGCATGAAGCGAAGGTGAACGGAAAGAATGCATGCATTGAAAGTGCCTAGAAGCCTGAGTATGACACGGTGGATAATGACGCATTTCATCGCTCCTTCTTGGATTCTGACAACTTTTTCTCCTCTACTTCCTTGAATGATTGCTTGTCTTCCATCAAAGAAATGACAATGTACGCAATGAGGACAATGTTGGCCGCGCATATAGCGGTGATCGCAGCATAGTTGGAATTGCCTTGAAAAGAAAAATATTGGTACACAAACTCGTGACTGCATCCTAAACGCAGTAGACGTACCAGACCAAACATATTTTTCTGTGAAGAAGTACGATGAAATTGGTAGGATGGCGAGAGTGGCAGCGAAAAAGAGGAGTTTCATGAGCGCCGCCCTTTGACATCACCAATGGGATTTCGGGATACGATAGACGAGTGAGTGATATTTTTGTTTAAGCCATCTTATGAAGACAAACCTGGTGGCTGCCTGCTCTGAGGCCTGTGCTGCTGTGACCTGAATGCTCATGCTCAATCGAATAAGGAGGTAAGTTATGAATACATGATGAATATTTTATTTGGCCATATACGCTCACATAAGCAATAGTCACGTGCATCTTTGATAGTTTACGTTTAACGCCTAGCGCCTAGTCTGACCGTGTAGATTCTTAGAACGAAGAGCCCATCTGTTTTGTTCTCTTTATTATGAGTCTGACTTAGTGCGTGGAGGAGATCAAAGTTCTTGCAAAGGTCTGGAACGTCACTCTCCTGGCCATTCCAATTTAGTTGACCTAGTTTCCTCACTGGTTCTGTGCCAGTATGTTTGATGTTTATTCTAGAGTGGACTCATACTCCCTAGTAAGCTTTTTTGATTTGTTTTTATCACTCTCATCGCTCATATAGGTCAAGTAGAAGCCAATCGACCCTCTCGCATCTTCTTGCACTTCTTCCTGTGTACGCCCTCAGTCTCCCTCAGGCTGTGCCTCTCGCACCTTTCATTTCCGCAACCTACCGGTACCTTCCTGCACCCCTTTTCCGTGTCCCAAAACTCCCTTACAGCTCATACCCTGAGGTAAGCTCTTTGTTCTTTATTTTGCATAACATTCGTAGTAGAAATATAACCTATCTGGGATTGTGCTGTCATGATCTCTTGCAACTTACCCCAAACTTCCTGCCCGGAGGCTCTTGTGACCACTCTCATACTCGTGACCTCCGATCAGCTCTCACTATATTCTTGTGGTTCATAGCCCACTGGCATGTGCATAGCACTGATTTTACAATGCATCCTTTTCATGCTTCAAATTTGTAGTGAGTACTACGTATGGTACTCTAGATGGTTATGCGTATTGAACGTGCTACTAGGAAAATTCAATAATAATATTTCGACAAAACGCAGGCTGTGGATGAGGACATCGTTTTCAATCTAATTCTGTGCTCTAAAGTCCGCTGTCAAATGTAAGTGTTTTGCAAGTCCGCATGTCAAACACACCTTCCGTAATGTTCATTTGATTCATTTCAGCGCTTTTGCTGACGAAGGTTTGTCTATTGATGGGATGTTATCTACAATCAGCTGACCATGCGAACTTTGCGAAGTGAGTGCCTTGAACGTTCTGCAACTCGGCGGAGTTGAGGTTGTGCCGTCGGTTGAATTTTTAAACGCTGGCAGGTTCAGTGTCTCGTAGCTCGTTTGATTGAACTTTGACTTTGACAGTTGATTCGCCCAAGACTCGGACTCAACGTCAAACCGAGCCCGGGACCAGTACTATAGGCTATAGGTGCAGTCGGACGTCCCCGAAATGACCATGGCCCATGGGCTATTGTTTTCGTATACGTACTTGCGACCGTTATCGTGACACAACTCCATACAGGTATAGGCCGACTGTTTTGATCCTAACGTCGTCTACCTTAGCCTGAGTAGGCAGATCATATCCCACTGCTCTGTCCTACTCGGTACTGATATTTATCTACAGACTGCACACGTCACGTTTTCAAAGGAGCACAAATAGAAGGTATGAAGAATAGCCAGCAGCAGCTACAAACCTCCCATTGGCAGCGCGTAACTTGAACTTCCCTCCAGGGTTCCGGGAATGGGTTTGTGGAGAAGCCGGTTATCTGGAAAGTCAAGGGTCATCATGTGCCCCGCTGTCTAGTAAGTCAGGGGCCATCATGTGCTACCGCCTTGTCGCATATCAGGGTCTCCAGCGGCAGGTACAGAGGCACGAAGGAGACGCTGGCTAACTCGCAAACTAAGAAATGGGGTACAGCATATGCAGTCCAAAACATATAAAAGCCTCTTTGCTGAGACTCTAACTGCAGAACTCGAGCTCTTCAGTCTACACTTCATCTCAACTAGTGCACTTTGTGTTTAACAATCTGAAACAATGTCACCCCGGCCCTTCGTCAGGAATTTGACCTTCCAGTCGTGAGTGTCTGCGATCTCACTCTGCATAACTTTTCACCTCGCCGTCATTGCACAGCAACAACCTTGGCAAGGAGGTAACGATCATGCTCGCTTGGAGTCCCAGCGTGGAGGGGCTCTACGAGGACGTCTTCCCTATAGTTTGGAAGTAAGTGCGCCTACTTCGACCGGGGACGATTTGAAACCTTACTATTTTTTCAGGGTCACTAAATTCGGGAAGGAGGGTGCGTGTTCTTATTCTTTTGCTTCCAAGTCGCCAACTTACATATGACCCCTATTTCCAGGTCCATACAGGGCTACCGCGACCTACACGTCCCAGTAAGATGATCGACGAGAACGATGGCATTGGAAGTCGCTTATGAATTGTACAGACTTGCTTTCTCCAGAGCCCAGGTCGAGGGCGGGAAGGTCATCAGCGCTGCAACCTCCGTCAATATCAATGTGAGCGACTCTGATCCACTCTGAAATTGCTAGCACCAACCTAAGCTATGATGCAGAACGGCGAGAAAACAATTCTGACAGAAGCCAATGATGTTTATCATTTCTCTGTAAGTCTGGCTTCTGTTGATATTTATTTCGACCACCGATGAATACCTGGTGCAGCCCCCTCAGGCGGGAAACCCTGGCATCCTGCAGGCCCTGAACCACACTGGGTCTATTCAAGAAATGGCAGTCGGTTTGTGATCACTATCGTCTCCTCTTTCTTTACCTGAGTTTATTGTCCACTCCCAGGCTTTGTGAACAGAGGAGACATTATGCCCACGCCCGTACTCTACTTCAAGGACGTTGGGTATGTTAACTTTCTTGTATTTCTCCTTCAGAGCGTTTACAATATACAATGCAGAGATAGCAGTCGGGTCACGGCGAAGTACACTCCGGTCCTGCGTGCCTACATCACGTCTGACTATGAAGAGACCGCAATCTTACGAGGTCAAGTCGACACTCCTGCGATCTGGTCGCAGGACCTCACTGCGCTTGCTCAGAACACGACTTGGAACCTCGCCCGCGACCCGAACACTGGACGTTACACGATCACCCATGCTTAATGGAAGAATGCGACATCGTCGGGCCTGAATATCTGTTCTATAAAGTCTGCGTCTCGATGTTTGCTCTTCTTCCATATGTCTTCATTCAAACCAATAGCCTCACTGAGTTGTTTGTCCTTTTTTTTTATTGTAAGATTGCTTGTCTGTCATGTATTTCGCAAGAGTTGAGACTCAGAATTGTACCGTTTTTAATGGGGCTTTATCTGTGTTTGAAGTCTTGCATTTCGTTATTTTTTTAAAGTTACAATGTTTACAAGGCAATCGATACTGTCTGGTCCCAAGCTGACGACCATATATCGCAACAGTTAAGCCCACATATGAATAAGAGGTTCTACAGACACTACTAAAACTCACTGTTGGTTTTATGCGGGTTGAAACCGTGACCTTGTGGTTTGAAGGCCAGCGATCGCTGGGTGTAAGGTTCGGAGGCATGGCCGCTGAGTCCACCCCCCAAGCTGAGCATGTTGACCTATCGAAATAATCGAATATCAAATGGAGCATTAATAATGTCAATGCATCGTTTAGCACCTTCGTCTATCATCTCTTCGTCGCTATCAGGCTCATTTTCGCCAAACTTCCTTTCGCCTCTCGAGCCTCAAACTGATTGGTCTTCTTTTTCATTCTTCTGCGAGCTTCCCGATGGTTCGCACCTATGTTATTCCTTGTATTCAGCGACTCTGACTGTAATAAAATGAGACCGAGTCCCCCGAGCACGAAGCTGGGGGACTCCGCTTGCCCTAAACATGAAACCTCCCACCTAAGCGTAGATTGATTCACCACCTGATAGTGGTTGGTCACAATGCATACAGCCTCATGTGGGATTTAGAGATCGTAGTTATTGAACAATGAGAGGAGTTGTAACGCAAGGTCCTCCTTCGTCTGGAATTTTGTGCTGCCAAGATAATTACTAGCAGTTCTAGGTTAGACAAGTCGTTGCTCACCACTAACGCTCAAGTTCATTGCCACCATTGTATATTCGGGACCATAACAACTCGATCATGGGAAAAATTCCAGACAAGGTAGTGTCACCTGTTGTAACATCTAGGCGGTGTCGACCCCATGGATAGTTCCGCGTTACAGGAATGAGGCAGAAAAACCTGTTCTATCATCGCTAATTATATAGCATGACTGGCACCAGACTACTGGGAGACGCGTGAGGTCATCGTGACACGGCTATATTGGGTACCATTGACTTTCGGAATTCTCCTGAACCTTAATTGTATGAACTGCATAGTACCGGCGATTGCCGTACACGGAAATCTACGCTATACTATCATCGACCTCAAGCCCCAGACATCGCCGACGCCGACAACCATGGTCAACATCCCCAAGTGCGTTGTTAGTCCCATTCGCTAATTTTGGGATCACTGACGAATTGCTGCTAAAAAGGACTCGCCGGACTTGTGAGTACCTGTTCTTGTCATGAATTCGGAAAAGTTAATGGTTGTGTATAGACTGCAAGGGCAAGACGTGCAAGAAGCACACGTATGTTCCTTGTTTGAGCTTATGGGATCAGGACCGCTGAGAACGCTATGCAGGCCCCACAAAGTGACACAGTACAAAAAGGGCAAAGATTCGCTGTTCGCCCAAGGAAAGCGTCGTTACGACCGTAAGCAATCAGGGTACGGTGGTCAGACAAAACCCGTCTTCCACAAGAAGGTACGTTTTGTGGTGCAGGAGCATGTAATCCTGCTTATTGGGTTTGGGGATGTAGGCCAAGACGACGAAGAAGGTCGTGTTGCGGTTGGAGTGCACGGTGTGCAAGTACAAGATGCAGCTTTCGTTGAAGCGTTGCAAACAGTACGTCTCTATTATATTCACCTCATGTACAGACCTGAATTGTCTCCTAAAGCTTCGAACTTGGTGGTGAGAAAAAGACAAAGGGTGCTGCGCTCCAATTCGTACGTCGCTCTACTTCTCATTAGATTCTTGGAGCTGATAGTAACTGTAGTGAGCGCCTTGGAGTCGTTTCATATTTTTGTTTTCCACTGCTATGTATCCTCAAGTACATTATGACATGACATGCATATCATCTTACGTGTGATTGGTCTCGGGTGATGTACCTTGACTAATGCGACTAGCCTATCAAGTTTTAGTGCAAGTGTTCGCCGAGTGTGAAGATATATACGACGCCCTCGCAACCACAGTTAATAGCCGCCCATTTTAAAACGTTAGTAGAGCACAGCTGGATGAAGCGATGAGCCAAAAAGATTAGTGCCGCACTGATTTTTTTGAAATTGCTGTGATGTGTGACGGTAAATTCCACGAACGGCCCACACTGTTTCTTGGCCAGTCATTCTTACATCGCAAACCTGGAAGTGGAAGGAATCGTTGGGGGGTACTACCCGTTAGCATAAAGAGGAGTCATCCAAAGGAGAAGGATCTCTTTCATGCACGCTTCAAACGTAGTCGAGACCTGCGATTCTGTGCGTGGTCTTATCACTGTCGTCGAGGAGGCAGCTGGCTGAACTCATTGACTGTCATTGCAGACAAACGCGTCTACTTCACAGGATGACTCCGAGTTATTATCACATACCAGCCCGCCTTCTACACCTCCAAGAGGCCGTACACGTTATCCTGACACCCTAGCTCGAGTTCCCTTGCATCGCCGTGGAACATCCAAGACATATGAGCGACTCGAAGATCTCCTTCGTGAGGCCGGGTACAAAGAAACTCGCGTCTTCACACCAGAATCCGAACGACACATAGATCATGCAACCGATAAGCACATGAGCACTGTGCGTGGTAGCGTAGGTACTGTCGTCGGTTTCCTCGCCGGCCTTGTAAGCCGTAATTCGAGTTTGGCACGGGAACCAACCTCCAACAAAGATTTACACTCTCAACCACCATCGCCGCTTGCCCACATCAGAGCTCTCCACCCATCTCCTTCCGCATCTTCCTATTCCTTTAACACATCACCAGAGAGCCTTCGCAAGCATTCTCGCTTTCATGCCACACGCAACCTACGCCCTGAAACTCATGGCCAGTCTCGCGCCCCAACTGCCTACATGCGTCACCAATCCTCATCCAACTTCTCCAAAGACGCTCCAAACGCTCATGCATACCTCCGACATATGGCATCAGCGCCTAATATCCAACCCCTAGCTAAACGCCCCTCCTCATCGAACGTCTCCCTCCGGTCACATCGCACTCCTCGCGCACAACCCCGTTCCTCCCGTCGAACCGTGCTCCTCACAGCAGACGACATCATCGAGACAGAAGATCCTCCGCCGCTCCCTCGTAACTGGATGGAATCCGTCGCTAAAGCCCTTCTCTCTGGTGTACCTGAGACTGCTTCTACGCGAAAAACGAGCTCGACGTTCTCAGAGACGACGAATAAACCCAGGGAACAGAGACAGCCACCATTGCTATGCGCACAAGTGCGGGAGCAGCGCGCGGGTACGACTGAGGGGAAGGTGAGCCAGACGAGCGTCGTGTGTAGGTCTGCGCCTGCGTCGCGTGCGGGATCGAGGGTGCGTAGAACCGGTGCTGAAGACGATGAATCGATACATAGACGTGATGAGAGACGAAGGAAGAACAAGCGAGATGAAGAATTAAGGAAAGGAAAGGGGAAGGGGAAGGGGAAGGGGAGACGCAAGGAATCAGATCTAGTTCCTTCATTGGCCCGTACGAGGGTCGAGAACGACGAATGGAGTATGAGCAGGTACCTCTCCGCCAGCCATAGACAGGAAGTACTGTGTTCTTCCGGCTCATCCTCTGAAGATGTGGACGATGACGAAGAAGACGAAGGAGAACTAGACCTAGAACGACTACTCGTCCCAGCCAGACGGCAAGCCTCCATTCGCAGTCTCCGAAAACATCTTCACCCAGCCAGTACAGCGGGCAGCGTACGAGGGCTACCTCCAACATCCACCACCGTCAGCAGTACCACCAGCACCATCAATGGTCATCTCTCGTCTTTCGCATCAGACTCACGACAACATATCTGGCTTGACGACTCCTGGGGTACAGGTAGAGGCCGCCGGTGGGTGGTAGGCGAAGACGATGACGACGAAGGGGACGGGTATGGAAACGGGAACGCGAACAGCGCATTTTCAGCATCTGAGATCGAGGGGACTGATAATCGTACACCTGCGGGGATGAAGCGCCGCCGCGGGTTGCCTGGCGCGTGGGCGCAGTGGGGCGGTTAATATCGGTGCTACGATGATAAGGGACTCCCCCTTCTTCTTTCTGGTTATAATCATTTACAGGATAGACACACGTGCGGAATGCCGGTACTTTGGATACTGGGCTCTCGTTCGCACGTGCATGCCATTTTTTCTTTTTCATCTTTGCTTTCGTTTCATGCACATTGTTATGGTATAGTACACATACATGCTTTATTGATATTGCGCCCTGGGGTATCTCAGATCTCACTGGGACGAAGGATACAAGTAATTTACTTTGTTTTAACTCGAACTTGAAGAATATGGCATATATAGATGTAATCGTCGATGGTTCTTGAGCTTTGTCTCCCGCGAGCAAACCACGTTGATTTGGATCATGGGGGCTAGACTGGTAACAAGTCGAATCAGGGGCTTTGCATGGTATCTGCAGCGTACACCTATATAAGGACATCCTCTTCGGACAAATTGTCTGAACTTTTCCACCACCTTGGGCAGTCGGCGTCCAAGCGTCAAACGTTCAACTTTAAGCTTTGTCATTTATAACGTGCGGAATCTCTACACAGGTAGTTTCTGGGTTATCAGTCTCCTCTAGACAACTGACCATCAGAATGAATGTCTGGGTCGACATCAGCTCGGGGTCACTATCATGGCAGGACATCAGTCAGGTTGCGTTCTGCTCTATGTAATATAAAGAACATACCCTGGGATGATGTTCTGTCTACTGTCATCCTTAGGGAAGTGATATCCAGCTACCAGCACTAGGTCCCCGAGTCGTGTATTGGCCATCGAATCTGATGTCTGCAACTCTGCATACAACTTCCATATATTTTTCTAGACTCGTTAAGCTCCAGTTCTCAACGAGAACTTATCATGTGCAGCCTGAGGTGTCACGTACATGGCAGCTCATGTCAGTGCACTTCCAAGTCCATCGAATACAGGCTGAGGCATGTTCGATCCCTAATCTTGCCAGCTCCACTCACGGTGCATGGAAAACACAGGTGTCGCGCTTCGGAAGCGTATAACGCAAGTTCGTGACCGACATGATGACCAGACGAACATGTAAGAACCTAGAAGGGACTGTAAGATCGAAGAGGGTGTATAAGACCACTTGTAGGATAGATAGCCAGTAGGTCAGATGGATCGTAAACGAGAGAAACGAGATGAAGAACGAGGCGCGTCTGAGAGGATAGACAATTATAAGGAAGGGCTTCTGCCATTAGCGAGTGCGAGAACGGGGCTTCGATACTGAAGTCTATTGCCTTTTTGTAGGAATATACATGGCTATTTTATACTGCGAAGGGCTAAGAGTCCTCGGGTATTTGACAGGCCGAAGATGCGAGAAACGGAGCCAGACGGAAGTGGCGTTTTGTCTAGAAAGAGGGTACGAAAATTAGAGTGAGTGACGGTATAAATGAGTAAGGTATTGACAGGATAACGAAGTTCCATGGTGGTTTTGACAGATGGCCAGACGGCTCGGTTGCGAGTAGGTACGGTGACGAGAACGAGAGTATTGACGGAGACGAGGATGGTGTTGACGCTGGTGGTTGAGGTAAGCGTTGTTGCAGCAATTTCTGGCGTCAAACGATTGGTAATCCTTACAAACATCTGTGTCTCGCTGGTGGTGTTGAAAAATCAACCATCGCGTCCACTATAGCTGAAAAGATGAAAGCAGTGTAAAGGCTTATTGGGACTTTCTTCTCGCACAAGCACTCACAAAAAGTTGCCACCATCGCATACCGGCTGGCAGGCACTGGCCAAGCGATCAAGAGGGAGAGGCTAGATGTCTCATTACGCGAAAAGTCGACCGTTGGTGCTGGCATTAATGATCAACTTCATTGGCAGGTAATCCGAACGGAGAAGTCCAGTTATGCAGTGCCGGATGTTACTTAGCGTCTGTGCCTGAGCTAGCGCAGAAACCCATCTAAACAAACTTCGGTTTTTTAAACAAGCATTGATAAATACCAAACGATATGCCAGCAACAATGCCAACCAGTACCACGCTTATGGTCGTGGGAAACACTCTCCGACCCAATCCCTAGGCGTCAACTCTCCTACTTTCCGCTGAAACGCCTCCAACGTGCAAAACTCTGGCGAACCCGGTAGATGTTTCCCCTTCTCGGCGCACATAGGAAGCACCATGTTCTTATTCTTGTAGCGCATACGGACATCTAGGTTTAGCAAAGAAGGGGATAAGGTTTACCAAGAATCGTCTCTCAGCACATTTTAATACTCACAATGTTCGTCCTGTCGTCTCCAAACTGATGAAAGAGCGCGGAGGCCCGAGAGATTGGTTTGTTCGAAAGCCGGAGTTTGTCTTCGGAAGAGCTCAAATGTTACTGATGAAGTGAATGGCGGCCACCTTGCACGCGCAAAGATGAGAATTGTTGGCATGAAGATAATTAGTAGGACCAACGCACTTGTCATCGAATACATCGAATGTACAGAGCAATGCCGCAAGCGTCGAGTCGTGCGTCGAGTGCACAAGGAGTTTTGTTGGCTCTTTTGAATCGAGTCGGGCCTTGCGTTGCATTCCTTCTGAAGCGTCTGCGAGGAGGCGGCCCATTCCTAGTCGGCGGCCATCTTCTGATTTGACTAATTATCAATATAAGGATTTTAGTAGATTTTGCGCTGAACGTAAGGAAACATCATTACAAACTAGAGGACGATCAATACTCGTACACGGTGTAGGGTAATGGACTAGGGGCTTACTGTCAAACCACTCTGCTGTTACAGCTGCTTCCTAGGGATTCATAAGTAACCGGAGAATGCGATGAAAGGGTGAATTTATCACACAATTAAACCGATAACATCGTCATCCATGAATTCTGATGGGACTCGGAAACCGTGAGCAGCTGCCGAGCGTACCTTTGAAAAAGCATTGAGTTAGCTGCGTCTGTCCTGCCCTGAAAAACATACTGTATCAAGAATCCCCGAAGCTCGAGGAGTTCCGTCAAGGCGCAATGGCTTACCGCCTATGTATTTAGAAACTTTCTTATCCAACGGTTCTAAACGCTGATTCCAAACAGCGACAGCAGCTGGAACATGTTAGACCAATCTGTGGAATATTAGATAAGAGTACGTGATTACCTTCAGCAAATTGTAATTCTAAGAGGGCCAGCCGCTTGCAGGCTAGGGTATTGCTGACGAGATTCTCGTCTATTCCATTACTAAAACCAAAGACATCAGTTTGACTTCTGTGACATGTGTGAAGACGTACCGTATGATGATAGAGGGTATCGTACCTGGAGCGCAGGTAGATGGAGGGTATAATCCGTGGACTATGTGCTGCAGAGATTCGATTGTCCGCGCGATGTTCGTAGAGCTACGTGTGTGAGTTTCATCGCGGGCCACGAAGCGATGGTGAACAGAATTACCGGAAGTAAGTCAAACGCTCATCCTCGAGCTTTGGGGGAAGAAATTTCAATCTTCGGAAAGATGCGAGTGAGACGAAAGCAAGAAGGTGCTCGGATGTTTACCTATCTACATATAGGCTTCGCAATGCCGTCCCAAAGGAATATGTGGACTGTTCTCAAACGCGTAAGCCAAGGAATCGGGTGTCGCATAGAACCCTCTCACCTTTTTGCCGATATCTGTGAGTTCCCCCAGGAGGCTATATACCGTATCGAGTTGAACGCGTGCATGACGAGTAATAATACGTACCATAATCCCTCAGCTGTCTTTCCGTGCCTATTCTCTACAACTTTCCTATACCACAATCCGTCATCTACGGTAGGACTATGCCCAGCTACGGTCTCGTGAAAGCTTTTTGCGGTGTTGCACATCTGCCAGTCTGCTGGTATGGATGCTGGAGGATCCGACATGCGTACTCTGACCGGCGTACGTTCGCCTAGAGTAGAATATGAAGTTGTCGGTGATTGACACAACTTGACGCGAACGCGAACTCGACGTACCATGCCTCACGTATACGTGCACTTGCTCTAGGTCCAGCCCTTCTGGTGCAACTGGGTAGCTTTCGACGTCAAGCGGGACCGGTCCGCCTTGCATTTGCTGCTTCATTATTGTAGGTTGTCGCACTTAGAGAAATTCGCGTTGCATTCCCACTGTACCATCGCGCCCGTGGGTCGAAAGATTCTAGAATAACTTCGGGTGGCGGTGTAGAATACTTTTCTCATCGGATCGTGGCTAGTTCCGGGTTGCCACTGGCGAACTTCCTGCCACGTGGCTGCGGGAGCCATGGGCATTACGGCTGCTCAGCGCTCAGTTCGTGAGCTCAGCCCATTACCTATTAAACTTCTACATCTGTAAAACTCTATTGAGAGCGTCGCCACGCCGAAATTCGTGAATTCAAACTTCAAGCATGGCGCAACCAACACAGGCTGAACTTCAAGCACATCTCGCAGGACAAGCCCAACTCCTCATGAGGCTCGCCACTCGCAGCTGTGCTGGACGACAACGATGATGAGCTTGATGATGATTATATGTCTGATTCCGATGCATTTCTGATGGCTCCGGCAGCCCTCGAGTATCGATCCCTCGCGGTGTCTATTACTGGTAATGTTCATGGTCGTCCACACCCCTTGAAGTGACTCCTGTAGTGCTGTTGGCGGTTGTCGAGTGCGCCAGTGGCTGGTGTTGCATGGTGCGATATGCTTGATCTCCCCCACGCATGCTGCCGGGCCGCAATAGATATACGGTGGTGGCACGAACAGAGAGTCGAGGGTAATGGGAGCACTGGGAGTACTACTTGGAGTTGGCGAGTTTGACGGCTGCGAACGTGTAAGTTAGTAAATTTGTCTGATGATCACAAACGAGATACACTTACAGCAAGGAAGCCTCCTATCTGTTTGTTCGTCTGACTTCCGCATTGCTCTCATAATAGCTACTAGCCACCGCGCAATGCTTACGCAGGGATGCAAGTAGTATACAATAATATTCACCGGAGAAACCACTGATTTAGATGCTAGTAAAAACGATAATGAATAATCTCATCCAAGCGCGACCCATCCGTATAACAGCATTCTCTGACTAATCTCCGTCGGCATTCTCAACACGCTTTCCTTGTGCAGCTCATTAATACCACACCTCTCCGAACACAGCACAAACCTCCCGAGCCCTCCCTCACGTCCGGTGAAAATACACACAGTCGGCGGTCGCTCTGCACGAAAATAGTACATCGTCGACGAGCACGTATCGATGAGCGTATAGATGTGTCCTGCATCGGGTCCACTATCCGCTTGTTTGGCATCGTCATATTGTACGGCCGAACCTCCCCGTTCTGAACCTTTTTCTGGCCTCGAGAACTTTGATCCACTCGGCGTGAAATACATTCTTGGGAAGTGCGCTTTGGCACCACCGTACAAGTGCTTCTCAACCTCTTTGATGCTGATGGCCCCTTTTACTCCAATCAACCATGGTTGTGTACTGATGATACGCCCAGATTTGCTGAAAACGAGCATCCAAGGGGACATAACAAGGAACACAAATCCGATTACGATGAGCGCGATGCCTCCTACTCGGCTGATCGTAAGAACACTTAGCCCGATGATGAGAGCTGGCAATGAGAGATACGGAAAGAAACCGATGACGTTCCGCCTGAAGGAATCTGTGGGCTCAAATGCAACCTCCGGAAAATCTTTCCATCTGATGGATGCCATCCGACACCCATCAACTACAAGAGCTCCATTCTCCGTGACACCAGCGACCTGGATCTCTGGTATAATGTCCCAAAGGTTGGCGCCGTAAATATCATCGTCAGAGTACCAACACGCCGTATTGGTGGTGGTCAAGGGCAGCATGGATACCATGCGCTCAACGATACGGTCATTGTCGTTGGCCATCGACAGCCTCACAAGAGCGTGCAAATCGTCCTCTAAGTAGTTTGGCTGAATCCGATGTTCAAAAAAGCCCATCAGTGCATACACGCGCGCAGCCGGGTACGGCCCACCGATGATAGACTTCTCGGAGTCTCCTATCATATCCAGCTTTGGAGGGGGAGCAACACCTGGTGCTAAAGCTGCCGTAGCACGCTGCCATATAGCTGATTTCAACAGCGTCAAGCGCTCCAGCCTCTCAAGCGGATCCTTCCCGCTGTACGCGTTGATGATAGCTTGTTCGACATCATATCTTGTGTAAGCCAGGTTGGCTAGCTCAAACAATGACAACGGCGTAACCGCCTCCCGATCTCGGAACTTGTAGCGAAGGTGAGGGCCCAGGAGGGCTTCGGGCATAGTCCATACCCGTTGGCCCCAGCTTCTCCAGCACTCGTTCTCCCCAGCCGTAGATTTTCCGAGCATGATCAAAGTCACATCTGCTGCACGGTAGACGTCCGCCATGCAATACAAATCACGATTCTTCTCTGATGGCATCTTTCCTACACACTCCAAGTCGAGCCAATACGCATCGTATTTCTGTCCGAGCACTGCTGCACGAACCTCCTCTATGAACTGAGCCTTTTGAAGTGCCTCGTCATCTGCGCCTTGGGTGTATGCATCAGCGGTACTGAAAGAGATGGCGATGAACTTGGTATGAATAATGGTATCGCGATCTGCACATGGGACCCACTCATTTCGGACCGGGTCACGGATAATAAGAAGTCGAGGATAAAGAGTATGTGTAGGGATATCCATCTCGCCCTCATCGATAATGCGCGAAGAATGTTCCATAGGTGAACGAGCTGCCCATAGCTGACCCCGGAAACTGCGAGCATATGGTTTGTAGTGTCCACTGTTGTACGTCTCGTTGTCCTCCCCGACGTCATCCCCCGAGTCGATGAGAAAGAAAAGCTGCATGAGCAGCCAGAGGACTGACCAGAAGAGCTTCAACGTAAACCACAACCATATCATTACCCATCTAAAAATGATCCACCCTCGTATGGGAGGGAAATTGGCCAACAGCCACATGGCGATTTTGCTTGCCTGATTGGTGTGGCTGCTGACAGCGATTTCGGACGTGCCGGAGGGAGTGACAGCTTGCACGACAAGCTTTCGACAGATCCCAGTAGTAGGGCTGACGTATCTCTGCTCTAGACCGTGGTTTTTCGGATGACCCAAGTCATCGTAGCAAGTGATGGTTTCGTCTTGCGTGACTGGAAGCTGCCAGAGTCGCATCCTGGCTGATCCTATTGAAAGTGTCAAGCGAGGAAAAGAAACCTGCAGTGTGGAATTACGGTGTACAGAGGGATACAAGGAGGGGTATGACCTGGTATTAGTTCACACAGCGACATCTGAGCATTTATATTATGCTCATGCCTGTTAGCTTCAGATGGGCCTAAGCTAAGTACGTCTGAATGTCAGGAAGATAGCTGTTCCATTAACGGATGGAAACAATTCGTGCACAGCCAAAACCATAAAATCCTGTATGCTGAAAGCTTAAAAAAGGTGCTTACGAGCGCACACGTTACGACTTGTTCTAACTCTGTTCAATACTACATCATGATCAGTCAGTTGTGCCAAGATGATCACGGAGGATTACAAAGGATTACAGTAGTGATGCTCCCTGATGGAAACTCACTAGAGGCTATGAACCCGTACTTGATCTGTGAGTAGAAAAATGGAACAGCTCAAGTGTTCCTGAACTTCACTGACCTGGGTATCCTAGACGGAGGTGGAGAACTGAACTTTGACAGAGAGATGTCATGCCTGGTGACTCAATAGATTGATCTACGATAAGAACGGCATATCAATGAGACGCGAGGCACCCACTGTCACTATTAGAAGCTCTGAGAGGGTTTCTAGGTCAGACCCCGGCGCAGCTCAGAATCTACAAGCACACCGTTTGCTTTCAGAAGTTACATCTGCTGTTGTATTTTTCTCTTCTTCTGGAAATACTGTTCGAATGTCTCAGCAACGTCATGCTCTTGGAAGTGGGGTGTACAGCTGTCCATGTGCAAATGAATCTGTGTATAGGTCAGGCAGGATTTTCTCAAGCATCAGCCCGAACCTCCACGAATCTGGGTAGTTGTTAGGGATAAGACATGCACTGGAAAAAGCACGATTGCAGAAGGAGGCGTAGAGACACAGAGATAAGCAAAGAACGCACATGGGATGGACACTAGTGCACTTGAGGATCACAATGGGGGGTGTAATAGGGTTTTCCTGATGGGCCTTACTACTTCAAGGCAGTAGGGTGAGGCAATGTATGAGATTCTGAATAGTCTTCTCGACGATGCGATGGCAACGATGCTAACCAATGAAGGCCGCCAGGCTGGCAGATGAGATGCGCAGTCACGACTTTTGAACTTCAAAATGAAATTATCTGAAGGCGCTTAGTAACCTGCTGACATACCGCGCGGGTCGGCACTTCCTCAGTGCTTTCAAAGTTTCAATCTCTAGTTTTTCGGTATTTTCCGGCGTCGGGCTTTCCCTTTCTAATACTTGAATTCATTCTGAAACATCCTCCTCAAATCTCACTGTTAGCGAAGCGCCGGATGGTGGTATACCAAGAACGAATGCCTCCACCAAGTTCCCCCTCTCACTCATTCCCATCCTCAACTTGAAGTAGTATGACCCTGGACTCGAACGATCCAATTTGGGGCCAGTCGTCAATGCAATTATTATGTACAGCTATTTCATAGGTCCCTGAAGAACCAGCCGTGCGATGACCCGTGATGGCTGGATCATCACTGCCTGCGGTTGCATAGTTTCCGCATTTGCCGTCGCTGCAATACTTGTACGATTGGAATGAGTAAGATCAAGTATGAACTTACAATATAAAAGACCGCTGACATCGTGGAATTCGAAGGAGTCGCATATACTCATTCGTTCGTCGCTGACACGAGCGCAATACCTATATCATGATACCACTGAGCACATGAATAAAGCCTGCACATATTCAAGGAAATATTTCCACGCAGTGCAGTGTTTGTCTGAGAAGTGCGCTCCACGTTCATAAATGCATGCCAGTTGTCAGTAGCAATACGTTTCTTGTTGTGATGCAAAGCTAGCGCGTCGGCGAGACTGATAGAGAGATGCGAGATGCTCCGGGTAACCCAGAGAAATTTGAATGCAATGCAAAGGCGTTGCAGCGGCATAGAGATCTGATAGTCAAATTGTGAGCGCCTGTGAATATCGCGGTGAAAACAAGCCTACGCTAGGGCCGATGATGAGAGCGACAATATGACAGCCAGGACGGCCAACTGGAAAGTGGTACAGAACCTAGTGTGAGTTCTCTAGAGTACCGCATCGGTCAAGTCAGAAAGACTTACCTGGCCTGCATTTGTGTTCCTAAATAGTCCACCTTAACTTCAAGTTATGTAACTCTTCTTGCTCCTTCTCACTCAAATACTTTCGATCCATCAGGCGTAGCCTACTACGACTTCCCACTCATATGCAATGCTCGAGTCTCGTTGCCCACCTTGCGATGTCGAGAGAGTGGACTACGCAATAAAGCCCAAGGCAGGGTTCCTGTCTCTTGCTCAAGAACTGAGGTTTTACGTTCTCAGCTTTCTTCCTTGTCGAGATATTCTTCGTTGTACATCTGTGAGTCGTAATAACCTATGATCGTGTTGATGTGATTCTCGTCCTAGATGGACTTCTATACTGATACTGCCCTTGCAGGTATGTAAGGCTCTTCGTCAGACGTACATGTCCTCCTCCGAGCTTCAGTACATCGTCGAACTCAGCGGCCAACGTTTACTCCCTGTCCCCAACACAAATAATCACATTCCTATTTCCAACCGTCTACAGACCTTGAAGAACAGGGCCCATGCATGGTTCAAGTTTGACATGCACTCTTTCAAAACAATCACCTTACAAGAAAACTTATATACTAAGATTCTGACGAAGCAGCTCGTCACTAATGGGCATCTCTACTCGTGGGATGATTATAATGACGTGGCCGCGATAATTCCAATACTACCCAAGCCCTCACAACAAACAATTGAGCACTACTGGTCTCCAGGAACATTGTGTCCGGTGCCCCACTCAATCACCCTGGATGTGTTGATGGACCCAGCACAAAACCTGATCGCTGTCGCGTATTATGTTACTCACGAGAATGATTTCGAATCATATGAGGCGGTCTATGTTGACCTCAGAACCCTTGATAGTGATGGTATTCACCCTCAAGCTGCTGGACGGACGCTACTTCTATCGGAATCGTCGGTATACGAAGACGCCACCGTCGAAACAACGCGTGCGAAGCTCAAATGTTATGGGAAGCATATCGCTTTGCAGCGTTCTTTGGTTATTACACCTGATGATAGAAGGAATCACTATACCCAGAGAACCGAGTGGCAAATTTGGGATTGGCAAAACTCGGCAATATCGAGGGTGAGGTTTGATTTGAGATGGTTCAAAGATTTAACGATTGATTTCAAATTCAGAGCGTTCTCAACGGCGATATTGTACCCTACCCATCTGAAAACCAGGTCGATTTCTGTTTCCTCGGAAATGATAGGTTACTCGTTGTCGCCAGCGATCTAGAGGTCTATTCGATCGCGGATATGTCCCAGACGCCACAATTACTGGCGTGTTTCAGATTGCCTCTCCGATTGTGGCGCATACAATGCCTCCTTCCTATTGATGATATTGAGCGGATGCAGGTGCAAGCCCAACCTCAAACAGTGAGGTACACCTCGGATCCTACGCATCAACTATTATGCCTCACCGCGTCCTATAATACTGCTACTCTGATCTTCATCATCTCCACGAGGATTTTCTTCGACCTTGACGGAGTTGTGGCAACAGTGCCAAAACCATGGGAATGTTGGGGCCCTTCAAATACTCGTATCTTCCGGCACCCATATTCAACTCAAGTCCACGTTAGTGGAAGTCGAGTTCTACAGGTTTTCGCACTCGGCACGCCAGGCACACGTCCCATGGAGTACGAAGTACATCTGATGGACTTCAGCCCGACAGCTGCGAAGAACAGACGGGGTCTTGGGCGTGTGGTCAGAGAGCCATCTGCGATAGAAATAAGTTCCTTCATGGAAAGCGCCACTGAAGAGGAAAACTTGGAAATCACAACGTCCTTGCCTTATGTCGAGGTCGTATCGGACAGAAAGTTAGGTGCTCTCGAATTACAGGGCATATGGCTCGACAAGAATAGGATTTATTTGCTCAATGCAAGTTGGGATGTTTCGACAGGTTTTATTTCATATTTTGCATGGCAGTCTAGCAGGCTTGAAGTCATGGAGGTCTAGTCTAGAGCAGAGCTCATCCATCGTCAGGTAGCATATGCATCAGTATGGAACAATGGTAGTTACTTACGGAGATGTATTGTATCCCACTTTCTTGAGCATCATAGGCATGTCATTAAACATATCCTGTGAAACTGGTGTCACGAGTGTTCTGCCCTCGAGCCTAGGTATCCGTATCTTACCTAGCCTCAATCATGGCCAGGATTCAGGAAGGATGATATGTACCGATTCGATTGCTTGACAAACAATCTTGAACAAGGCTATAGACGCCATGTTCGAGCCTTTCAACGTTAGCATCGATCCAGCTTCCAGTACCCCACAATGTCACATCCGAAAGTTGCATCTTCTGGCCTCAAGCAGACTGCACCTCGTTCCCCACACAAACACGCAACGCAGAGGGCGTATGGTTTGAACTGAAATTTAAAACTTTGAAGGACTCGGAGCCATTACGAATTTTCGCGGACCAAGGACATGGCAATCGCAACGTCAAGCACGCTTCTCGTTCATTCTTGTTGCCCTTCAGGAACTAAGACGGACATAGTGAGCGTTGAAAAAAAAGGTGCTGGAATGGATTACTGTGATTCCCTCGATACTGTTATCTACCCTGTGATAAAGCACTGCGATAATATGACCGAATACCTTCATTCCCCCGAGCTCCACCACATCGGGAGCCCCAATCCATGACCCTCCGAATGTCTCGAGAAGTAATCATAATCGATGTTAACTGTCAGGCATCAATATTCAACACTGTCAAAATACTTGGGCTACTGACCTGCTGTTGCAAGCACGAGCTATAGCCGAAAGAATAAGAAAAAATGACAACGATGAAACAACCTAGATATATTTACCGCACGCTCGTCAAGAGTGAGGTTCCTTATTACCGCAGGCTGCTGCGGCGTCTCGGATGCGTCTTGGCCCGTGGCGTCAAAAGTCACGAAATATTGTCCTATCAATCGAGATATGCCCCCCCATCACATCAGTAAGAACATCTCAGCAACGTGGCATGTCAGAACCTGTATCAGTGAAAATCTGCGGAGTCGTTGAGCTCCTGAACGACATTTTGAAATGCAGAGATAGGATACGGGCACCTACCTCTCTTCCAAAGCCGCGGAATGCCCTGTTTACAGACGCAATAGGCGCCCCACGCGCATCGAGCATGTTAAAGTGCCACGCCCAGAGCCCCTCGTCGATTTTTGCGAATTGGGAGAACGAATCTGTCGGAGGCTCAGGCTGGGGCTCGGAGGCGGTAGAAAGAATGCGCCTAGGCTGATCACTACGACACAAGTCTCGGGAGTCGGTACTGACAACAAAAACAAACGATGCGTTGCATTACCGAAGAAAGAGATGGTATCGTCTTCGCCAAAGATGCCATTCCTGCTGGACTTCTGCGAATGTATCTAGGACAGGTTCTCCTTCTGGTGTATACTCGTGAAGGTCTTTTAGGCGTTGGACGAACATGCGCGAGTTTATCCAGGCGAATGGACGACGAATCTGCGGGACTGGATGAATTTATTATGACTTGGGAAGGAGTGCTATGGATCGCACCCAAAGAATAGGTGATCCGTGGAGGTCCATGACTAAAGCACGAAACGGACGATGCGTGCGAAAGATTTGTCTGGCGAACATCGACAGGATGCCTCGTGGCTCTTCAGCAATGTAACCAAGCGGTTCACCAGCTTGATTTGCTAATCGGGAGACAAATGTTGATGATAGATTCCCAATAAGACTCGAATATCACGTACAGATAGTATATCGATTGGACTGCTCAAAACCCATGAATATGCTCAGCATTTCAAGTTTCCTATGATACATTCATGATGATTTAGCTCGACGATCATATATATGGTTCAATGAGAAAACCCACCTTGTTATTACCAACGTATTATTATTTAGTAACAGATGCTTCAAACCTTCCTCCGGGTTACTGGAGGGCGTTCTCTGGCTCGCATCCCAAAGCTGCGAATCATGCGCAGAGGACCGCGTCTCGTATGTAAATTGGGATGACGCAGAATCATATGTCACATCCTGGGCGGACGATACGGGTCCCTGGGTAGGTTTGTGTCCTGGACTCGGAGCCCTTCCAAAACCGGTCCTTCGGTTAGGAAATCGAGAGAGGGCATAACCTCGCCGAAAAGACAGTGGTGCGTGAAGGAGAGCGATACATGGGTTGGGGTTGGTGAGCGTTCTACGGCCTGTCGATGCTAGTAGTCCAATCATTCAGATACGATGGTTCACCAGCTAAATGGGTTCATAGTCTGTAAATGCTAAAGTAGTACTGACATACTTGAACGCGTCACTTACCTTGCCGCTCGCTGACTAATGACCGCGCTCAGAAGGCTCCCTTCTACCGAAGTTCGTTCGGTTTTCCACAAGTCGACCTTACCTCTCCAGCAGCAGCAGGACTCACTTACACCATATGTTGCATGGTTATCGGTGCATTCAAACGACACCTCATAGTGCTCCTACCTTTCACTGGGCTGTGTATCGACACTGTGGAATTCTTTCAGTGTCAGTGCCCAACCAAGTTCTCGATGAAGAACTGGAGAAACTTCCTTGTTTCTCGGTGACCTCCTCAGTAGCAAATAGACCTCAAATTGACAATTGCCATGGTACGAATTCTCGGGCGTAGAGTGGGGGCCGCATACAAGTCGGCCATGACTAGGACGACTCACAAGATACCCTGGACCCGAGTCAACGATTCTGATCCGGAATCCAATCCTTTTTGTCATCGTTCTTACTTCTATCACCCACCGTCGGCTTCCTTCACCGTGTGGGAGTAAAAAACCATCCGCACTCTACTCTACAGCACTGAGCTAAATTCAAATCGCATCCATTTTGGCAAGGAACGTCGAGTCGCCAGTTACGAGGCGCATTCCAACCGTGGGTCAAGACTCGGATACTCAATATTCGGTCGTTCTCAGTTTTTTTACTCCCTTTCTAGAGTAGTGTTGACAATCCTAAACGCAAACGCTGGAGCAACTCCACCATGCATGAAAGATGTCATTATACAAGTATTTCATTCAGTCGCACCTTGACGTTGACTTTTAATGAACACGCACCACTAGGACCTACGACCACGATGATAGAGTCTAGGAAACAATCAAACTCGAGAGAATGGATGTTTCGTTGTAGTGGATTCCAAGTCATCTTGGGTAGTGAGTGAACTGCTGGGTGATTTGTGCCATCATCTTGTTGGTCACCCACTACCCAAATATCAACTGTGTGACGTTTTATTCTCTCAAGGCTGAGGTTTTTTTGTTCCTCGTGAGTCCTCAGTCAGTAGCGAATTGAGCTCGGGCTGACTTGATTCTATCAAGATAGCGAGCGGGAGCTTAAAATGGATCTCGGATCATGAGTCAGACGCCTTTGACCCTCCAATGTCTTGCTTCTATCACCCGCACCGGCCTTGCGTGCGGGAGTGAGAATACCTGCACAGCACTGACCATAACGGCACACCGAGTAACAAGACGCATTCGTATGATGGAGATCAGCAGGTGTTAACACATGGGAAACCCCATTATGCGTGTGCGGCTCGCTAAGTACTCGGCGCTCAGTCTCCTGATGTGTTACAGCAGCTATGTCATTTACAGAGTCGAACGCATCGAATCGTACCGTCATGATATAAGAGTTGGGAGTCGCGCGTTGACTTGACGACACAGCGATGGGTATCATACATGCTGTCGAGCCGCGATAAGATACAGATAAAGGATAAAAGTACAAGGTATTACTTGTTGCGGGAGCTCCGTGACGATGCGGGACGTATGATGCGGATCTGCACTCATGGCTTGATCACGATCTTCACCGCTTTTCTGCTATTCATCTTGTCCAAGGCCAGTTGGTAATCCTCGAGCTTGAATACATCCGTCACCATCCCTTTCACCTTGACCTTTCCGCTATCGAGGTATGCGACTGCTCGTGGGAAGCAGTATGTTTGCGAGAAGGAGCCGATGATCTGGATAGGTGCGTCATCAGCATTATATCGAAGTTATATATAAAAACTCACAGTGATCTCATCCCCAAAGATCTTTGACGGGGGCCAATGAACGAGGGCCTTATTCTCATACACCCCATAAATCATCAATGTCCCACCCCTCCTTACATACCCAATCGACATATCGGCAATCTTTTCCACGCCGGTAGCCTCTACCACGACATCGAAGCCATATGGGTTATCGTCTTTGAGTTTCTGCCACTGCGCATCGGGGTTTTGACGGTCTAATTCGATGTATTCATCACCAGCCTCGAGTTCGCGGGCGATGTCCATCTTGATGCCTTTGTTCGCAGCAATGACGACGCGGGAGGCGCCGTTGAGCTTGAGGAGCTGTGCGAGGATGAGCCCAGTTGGACCTGCGCCGAGAAGGAGGACTTCGATGCCGACGGGGGGGTTGAGTTTGTCGAGGCCGTGAATTGCGCACGCGGCTGGTTCTAAGAGGGTTGATTCTTCGTCTGTAAGGTTCTTGATCTTGTATAGCTTCCTTTGATGGCTGAGATACGAAAATAGAATTTGGAAATGAGAATCACATAGGAAGAATAGGCTGTGCTCACTATACGATGTATTCGGCAAAGCCACCGTCGAGAGTAACGCCTCTGGCGTTGAAGTTCTCACAGAGGAGGGAATTGCCGCGTCTGCAGTAGAAGCAGTTGTCGCACTGACATTTTTACTGTAAGGATATTGTTTCGGATGTAGAGTTGGACTTACGGTCAGGCCTACATCAGCAACACATCGGTCGCCGATCTCGAAACCTGTGACATCCTTTCCCATTTCGACGACTGATCCGATAGCTTCATGACCCGGGATGAGCTGGGAGTGATGAGCTTAATAGGGAGTGACGTCACTGATGATAAGGGAGACTAACCGGGAATTTGGAGATGAATTCCCCGTCGTGGATGTGTCCGTCTGTGCCGCATACACCTGTGCAGAAGATATGAGAACGGTAGGTTCGAGGGAATGTGGTAGCTATCACTGACCACAACATGATACTAGGGTTTTTGGTGGTTAGAAAGTGAATATGGTAGGGCGGTAAGAGGTACCTTTCAAGAGAACGTCGTTGTCACCGACTTTGGGTATTGGGACTTGCTTAATCTCAAAGTCTTGTGGCTGTCGCTAGGTTAGAGGATGGATAGTGTGGTAGTGGAGGACGGGTACCTTGTTGTACCACAGAGCTCTCATAGTACCTTCAGGCATTGCGAGTAAGTGTAGTGAGGTTTAGAAGGGGAAAAATGATTTTTGTGATTAAGAGTATCCAAGCTGGCTTTTATCCCCAGAGTTCTGCTATTGGATTTGATTTAATATCGCCTTCATGTTTTTTTTTTGTAATCCTAGGTTAGGGTTAATCACCGGGTCAGATACCCCTAGGGCTCCAATTCGAGGCATAACTCACTCACACATGGAGCTCCTTTAGCTCTTGGTGGAGCTCGTCGTTATCATTTTCGGATCAGTCTCGCTCCCCCGACCTCGTTCGCACGCCACACTCCTTAGATAGACCAAGTCATGTGCGCACGACGAGTGCTAAGCCATCCCCCGGTGCCTCTCTCGGGCCGGCGCACCTCTCGCTCAACTTTGTCTGCCTGATATGCCCACCTACTCACGCAAAGTCCTGTCGTTTTGGAGTACTGACGTCATGACATATACTCATCTCAAGCGATTGTGATATGAACTCCATGAATGGTTTTGTTTACAAGTCTGCGGCGTTTGTCGCAAGTGAATCAGCTTCCGCATCAGTAGCGAAGTGCGATTGTGATACGGAGACAAATGGCTTTAATACATTTGCGTTTGTCGCCCCGTCTTTGTCTTCCCGTGCATATTGATGAAGGGATGTGAATGGGGCAGCCGAGCGCACAACCTTGCCTACTATGACCATAGTGTCTAATTTTGACCTCGTAGAACAACCTCCCCTCCACCAGTCGACATCTACATGCTGATATCCCAAATATTTATGTCATACCCGTTGTTCCTCATAGATGACATGCATGATGCAATATCGTTTTCGCCTTCCGAACATGTACTACTACGTACTGCCTAATGTCTTCTACGCTAACACAACATGCAAGCACTCGTCATAATTAGGGGACTAATAATTATTGATCACGGCTCTCCAAATTTTTGCTGACTGCATTCCTCAACTCCTCCACAGCAGTGGTGATTCGCTCTCCCTGCTCTAAATTTTGCATCTCTGGTCCCATCTCCCTCTTCAGTCTTCTGAGAACACCATCCACATCTCCAAGGAGGTCCTCCAGATCAGATTTCGAAGCATTCCGCATATACTGATTTGTGCCATCCACAAGAACAAGAAGGGGCTGGAAACAGTGTGCGCTGTAAATGTCATAGGGAGGATTGTACCACGCGCTTCTCATCACGTCCCACCACTGCTGCTCTGTAAGAGAATCCAACGATGTAACCAAGGTCTGTTCAGATGCAATTTGAAGGAGGATACCAGCAATGTAAAAGGCACGAGGAAAGTAGCGAACGCAGTACACTGGAATCATGCTAATGCACCGATCTATATGGCCATTCCTAGACAAATGAGGGTGCCAGTTGGAATTCCTCGCGAGGGCATAGAGCAGTTCGAGATAGCATATATCGCGGTTATAATTGAAAAGGCGGTCAGGACCATCATTGGAGGGTGTTGTACCTGGGTGCGGACAAACCGCGGTCATAATGGCGGAGGAGACCTTGGTAAAAACCATGTCCCGTAGCCTCGCATCATCAATGACATCGATCGAGATAGTGGCGGGGGAGAGCTTGGTCAAAATTATGTCCCGTAGCCTCGCATCATCAGCATCGATCGAGGCAATTTCTTCTCGGGCACTGTGAGCAGCGCAAAGAGCGGCATGGCGTAAATGGAGAGGCATGTGACTGTCCATGTAAGTGATGAGCCTCTCGATGAACAGATGTTGTTTAGTGGGGCTGCAGCACACTTTCATGCTACCCAGTAGAAAAAGGGTTGCATATGCCATTTCATGGTCATCGGCATCAATGTAGGCGAGGCAGTCCACCATCCAGTCGAAGTCTCCTGGTGAGTGGGATTCACCTTCCCACTCAAACTCCTGATCCCACATCTGGGCAGGGTCCTGAGAAATGCCGGCAGCAGCGAACGTGAAGTGCAGTGCCTTCCGCAGATCTGTCAACGAATTCCAGGACCTGTATTTGTCGGATGACTTTGCTCGTGAATAGATCTTCTTGCATACACCCAGGTTCCGCATAATGCGGAACGGAGGATGATATGAATGTCCAGCAAGCTCAAGGATACGATAGATGATGTCGATGAGGCTCCATGCCCTGCGTGTGACCCCTGTGCTATCTTCATAGAGCTCGCCTCCATCCCATGCCCAGAGAGCCTGTTGGAACTGCGCAAAAAGGGACTCCCTAAGTCGAGGCAGAGCATGACTGCACGATCTCTTTGTCAATCATGGCAGAAAAACTACCAAATGAATCGATGGCACCTTTTATCAATCCGAACTATGTCTTTCTTGTCGACCTGAATCCCGACCATGAGGCAGGCGAGAAGAGTGCAATTGGCTACTACTAAATTCGACGGAGAGGATGGAGAAGATAGCAAATTTGATATGACCTTTATCGCCAGGTTTTCTATGTCTCCACTCACTCGTTCAGTAACAAAGTGATAAGGAAGAAGATGTGACAACCGCTGAAGGACGGAGTCAGGGCAAGTTTCGGGCCAAGTAACAGACCACCAAGAAAAATCTGGGTTTATAGCTGTATCAAGCACCGTCTTGTCAGCTGGAAGCATACTACTCCTGTAAATCCGAACAAGCACATCCACGTCTGCTTCCCCACGGACAATAAATTCGCCAGGAGTAGGATATGCCCGAAGAAAACGCCTATAGTATAGATGAGTTAGAGCCATTGCACATGCCGAGGCCTTGTCCCCCAACGATGGTACAATTTTCCCTTGAATGTCGACGCAACTTGTAAAGCTATCATACATCAGAGGCAGTATGTCCGAGATGTCAAAATCCAGGGGCCATTCGACCTGCGGAACGAGCCTGGAGGCGGCAAGAAACGCTTCAGGATCCGTAGATGTCTCCAGTAGCCACTTGATGCTAGGAGCTTCGAGATCGCTGACAGGTGTGTCCGGAAGGTCAAGGGTAAGGATGCCATCATTTTCCTTCAAAACATCTAGATCCTGGTCGAGTGATTGTGCTTCTGCGTCTACAACCTTTGCCGAAGAGTGCGGAAGGAAAAAATGCAGCCCTTTGTGAAACATAGCAAATAACAGCTGAAAAGAGCGTCCTGCGAATGCGCCAGTAGCACGTACAGGGCCTGTGGAGTGAAATGAGCACTGGGCATCCTGTGTAAGAGTAGATAAGAACGTCACCCGCAAGTACTTCAGACATTCGGGTCCATCTTGATCTGACGGTACCAAGCAATCGTTGCAGCACACCTGACAAGAACGGTCAAAATATGAGCATATATAAGAAAATATGGCTCACCATGCGCTGACGTCGTGAGCTGCTGGAAATAACTGAAGACTCGTTTGAATGCTGGGCGTAGAACCTCTGCAACGTTGATTCAGATGAATACCAGAATCCAACAAAACGATCTTACTGTCCATGTGCAATTTTTGCAACACTATCGAGATCGGCGTCTGGAATGGACAGGCGGGAGATATCAAACACGCCATCACCGTTAGCGAATAGAACAGAAATCCGAAGGCTGTTGTGGAAATGATGACCCAGGCGATGCCGGGCTGCTTGTGCCACATATTTGCGCCGAGGGCAACCCCAAAGAGAAGGAGGGAGATCTGAAGCAGGACAGGAAAGGATTGCACGACGGCATCAAAATACCATGCGACGAGGCCTTCAAACTTCTCTTGCCTGCGCTTCCCTTGATCCTCCTGCGACCCGCGACCATATCTCTTTGTTTTGTAGTACCCGAGCCATTGCTTGCCTAATACGGCCCCGAACGCTGCTAGTAAGCTCATGGACAAGCTTGCGTATACGACCATTTGGATCCTCACAGTCGACGCAGCTGGCGACCATGTAGATGCTGGGTCTGCGGGGGCGGAGCCTGCTGCAGTGAAGTCACCAAGTCCGATCTGGACGATTTGCTTGAGAAGAGCATTCGTGGTGTCGCTGGGGTCGGGACTGAGATCAGACTCCATGGCGACAATGAAAGCCGAGCTGACGGCGGAGAAAAGACCAGACTGATCAAACATCAATCTCGGAAACGGATCAAAGATAAGCACGCTAAACCTACGAAAATCAAGACGATGTCCATGTCAGTAGTATATCGCTCGAGGAACTCGCCGTCGTGTTCCTCTGCGACTCTTTTATACATCCCCCAGAAACGAGACCGATCGTCTTTTCCACTCTTTGACGCAATCGTCGAGTTCTGGAGAACATCCAATACGTCCTTCATGACATTTGTTCTGCGTGTAGGGTGTTGTCAGCTGCGATCGCTTGGCGTATTTCTCACTTACAGTTCACTGAGACTCGGATTTGGCTGGTCTTTCTCCGCCATGACTTCTCCTCCCTGGCTGAGACAATTCATGAGATTGTTTAAACTCGCCATTAATATTGATAGGAACTTACAGTGTTGGATTGCTATCCGGTGCATCTTTGGAAGTACGTTCCTGTTCGTGAGGTTCTGATGACTGGGAAGGCCCAATGTTCGTGCTGCAGTTCTAGTGAAGAGTTGCACAAAAACATAAAGGAAGAATCACTCACGTCTCTGATGGTAGCTTCACCGTCGAAGGTCCGCTATTTGCCTGCTCCCTATCTTACTGTTATACGGGTGACAGATCCAAGTAAGCTGCAACTTACTCTGAATCCTCCGTGCGTCTTAGAGTATCCTGCTCTGTGGCAGGCTGCTCGTCGGTATAGAGGCGCTGGTCCTCAGCACCGTCAGTACTTGATGCCTTTGACATCGAGAGCTATGGGTATGTGGACTCAAAGTAAAAGCCAGTGGAATTGGGAAGAGCCGCAAGCTGGTTGGGCGCCTGCCTGAGCCACCACGAACACGTGTACGACATTGTTGACGCTGAGGGTGTCCGGCGTAAGCGTATCTTGGCGTAAGGAAGGTCTGAAATTGTGCAAGATAAGCAAAGCCAACTGCAGGTGGCCCAGGGACAGGGTTCTGTTCGAAATTCCAAGAAATTCAAGTCCAGCTTCATCTGATGGCAACTTGAAGGCAACAAGGTCAGGCTAACAGTAGAATAGCTTCGAATTGCTTGGGCGCTTGCGAGATTGCCTGTAATACTGGTGCGGACTCAGAACCAGCGAGATAACGTAGAGACTTATTACTTCCGATTGGGAACCCCAGCACCTTTCACATCCCTACAAGTTGCGCTACCCCAAACCAAGAGTGCCTGATACGTTCACCTAGTACTTGCGCAAGGTCCTGTCGTTTTTTTGTCAACATATATCCTTTGATACAACTCATTCCAAAAATAACACCCACTCATCGACTGGATTCTTTTCACCAGAAGGCGAATATCGAACCCAGCATCACGACACTGCCAATCAGCTCCACTTTCACAAACAACCTAGCCTCCCTCTGCATCCCACTGGTACACTCGTACCCTGCTCCTCCACCATATAGTAATAACTTCTTCCCCAACTTCGAGACCTCCACAGAGTCCGCACACTCGGCCATCGATGCTACGGGCGGCCCGCTACCCAGGGCAGTTGAACCTTATATTCCTGCCCCCAAAAGCGTCAACATCTGCTCCTCCCAAAACGGATTGAAAGCGTCTTTCACGCGGTACAGTTGACGAAGTCTCGGCATTTAAAACTTTGCGCGACAGTGGCTTGACTCCCTGTATTTATTTCTAGGTATACTCATTTCGGTCAAGAGGTTGAGCGTTGGTGCTCCCCTCTTGTACAACTTTTTCAAAATCTAGTTTTCTTGGCTCCATTGTTTTCGGGCATCACATCGTCGACAAATTCTCAACACGGAACAAACACCCGATAGCATTTCATATGCATGATGTTCACTGGCAGCCGGTTCATTCACACTGGCAGTACCAAGGCTAACGGTCCCTCCATATTTCTACGCATGCCGCAAGAACATCTGGAGCATATGTGGAAAAATTCTAGTCCACTCGCATGTTCCTGTCCACCTAGGTGTAAGTTCTACATGAACTTTGTTTGGTATTGATTATGGGGCCAACAGATATGCTCGTGTTGAGCGTTTTTCAGAATAGACACCGGGTAAAAACCAGATGAACGAGCCATAGGCTGCGCTAAAAAAACAATCGTGTTCGAACCTACGGGTGAGCTGGATTTGAAGAAAGTGAAGGTGAGTGCACCCTGGAGTTGTATTTAGTGCATGCTACTTACATCTTGCTCTGTCTACTAGGGTGTTGATTGACGCGATTAGGCGATCGATCTGGGGAGAACGCAGCGGATCGAGGAGAAGTGTAAGGGGAGATTGTCGCTGCTTTCTTTAAAAGTGTCGGCTGATTCGAAAGGTGTTATCTCGATGTATGGCGGGTCTGTGATGCTCTTGAAACGTGTTGTCCATGCTTGTCTGTAAGGGAGACTTATTGTTTCGCGTATGCCCTTCCAAACCGTTTGATGTATCTAATGGAATTTTATGCCCCAATGCTCCTTCGTCTTCCATTGCAGAACCAACCCTCCTGAAGGTGCCGTATCTATATGCGCAGACCTACCTATCATGCAGCAGTTGAACGCATTTTGGAAGCGATGTTAGGCTGCACATCAAAACTACTCGATAATGATATAGTGAGAGAAAGCGTGTCTCATTACCACCCCGAATACTCTGCTACTGAGCTAGGTCTGGTCCCATCGTTTTGGAGTACGGATGTCATGATGTGCAAGGACATTTGCGTACACTCAGGCCGAGTTGGTCAACGATTTGGGTCGTAATGTAGTTTTCGATCAAGATTTACAAAATATCCCAGATCATGTATCCTTCAAACTTGAATACAACTTCTCGTCCCAAAAATAAATCGAACAACACCTTCACGACTCCAACCACTCCCTCACAAACGACACAAACTCCCTCTCCATCTCACTCGTATACTCATGCACCGCCCCTTCCTCTACCACAACCCTCTTAACCCCACCCTCCCCAACTTCAAGACCCTCCACAAACTCGGCTGACGCCGCCCACGGCACAGCCTTATCCTCCTTCCCTGAAAGGACCAATATCTTCTTCCCCCAAAACGGATTGGAAGCGTCATTGGCGCGATACGCCAGCCGTGCAGGGTCATGCGATTCTATGTATGCTTTAAAGGAGGCAGGAAAGTAGGGCGGGGAGAGAGGGATGTCTGAGGATTGGGCGCGGTGGGAGATGAGTTTCATATAGTCGGGGCAGCCGATTATGGAAATTCCGAGGGTGAGCCGGGGTTCTAGAGGATTGTGGGTGTAGACAAGTAGCTAAACGAGCCGGGTACGTACCTCTACAGAGCGCAATCCACGTCGAATGTCCTCCAAGACTCCCACCGCTTATACCCCATTCCACAATCGTCCGTTCACCCGAGGGATAGAGGAAGGAAGGAAGATGGTCGATCAAGAAGGACACGTCTTGTGCTGTACCAGCTTCGAATGGGGTCAGATTTACTATGCACGTTTAGTACTGATTGTAGCTTGGACGTACTTTGGATGGTATACATGTCCATCCTGAATTCGAATGAAATCAACTTTATGCCATGTTATGAATGGACAGCAACGTACGCATGCTGATCGTTATTCTCAGCCGGATCCTTGCTCCATACGAGATTCCGCTGATGGTCTACAAGTCTCGCTCCGTGGTTCCTGTGATCCTTTCCCCCCACCTATCGTCATTTTCTTCCATACGAAAATGAAGGAAAAGTGACTCACAAAAGCAACGACGATAAGATCTTTCTTCCTCTCTCCCCCACCTGATTTATAACTCTCATTCAAAATAGCTTTAACAATATCGAGGACGTATTGAACTTGTGCGCTTCCTAAACGGCCGTGGAGGAAGAAGAGCACGTGGATGGGGTGTGTGGAGCTGGACGTTGAAGTCGGGTGGGAGTAGATATCGACGGGGAGACCACCGATTAGGAGGGTTTGTTTGGTGGGTTCCATTGTGGGTGCAAAACTAATGTAGTATCTGAAGGGGAGGAGTATATGTATAATATGCTATTGATTTGTCTAACTCATCATGTGGTGTCTCATGTACGTGGCAATGTCAGATGGTGTTCGAGTCATCGTGCATTGTGGCTTGTGATAAAGGACGTTGTTCCATTCATTGGATGATCGCTGCACAATAGTAGCATTGGCAGGCTTCCACTCATCCTGCTCCGTGACTGATTGCAAGTGCTGTAAACGTTCAATGATTCAACAAACCACGCACATCATGATAAAGCTCTCGAGAGTTGACAGTCCCAATTGATGAAAACCCACTATGACGTGGATCTCTGTTTGAAACGTCATCGATAGGAAATAGGGCAGAGTATGAAAAGCAAATTGTAGTCAAGTTCCGAGCTTCGCATCGTATCGTAGTGCGCACGCACATTGCATTGTATTTGCAATGTGTGATGGGTGGCATGACATCATATTATTCGTAGTCCAAGGCACGAACAAGTGATACGAACGAAGTGCGGGTTGGCCACTTGTGCATCCGTGGTAGTATCATTACGCCAGGCTGGTCACGAGCCTAATTTGCGCGCACTCAGGCTGAGTTGGTCAACGATTTGCATAGTAAATGTAGTTTTTGATCAAGCGACATAGATTTACAAACATATTCTGGATCATATATCAATACAACTATCGTCCAAAAAATAAATCAAACAACACCTTCACAATTCCAACCACTCCCTCACAAACAATGCAGCCTCCCTCTGCATCCCACTCGTACACTCATGCCCCGCCCCTTCCTCTACCACAGCCCTCTTAACCCCACCCTCCCCAACTTCAAGACCCTCCACAAACTTGGCCGACGCCGCCCACGGCACAAGCGTATCCTCCTTCCCTGAAAGCACCAATACCTTCTTCCCCAAAAACGGATTGGAAGCGTCATTGGCGCGATACGCCAGCCGTGCAGGGTCGTGCGATTCTATGTATGATTTAAAGGAGGTAGGAAAATAGGGCGGGGCGAGAGGGATGTCTGAGGATTGGGCACGTTGTGAGATGAGTTTCATATAGTCGGGGCAGCCGATTATGGGAATTCCGAGGGTGAGCCGGGGTTCTAGAGGATTGTGGGTTTAGACAAAGTAGCTAGATGAGCCGGGTACGTACCTCTAGAAAGCGCAATCCAAGTCGAATGTCCTCCAAGACTGATACCACCTACACCCCATTCCACAATCGTTCGTTCACCCGAGGGATAGAGGAAGCAAGAAAGGTGGTCGATTAAGAAGGATATATCTTGTGCTGTACCAGCTTCGAGCGGGGTCAGATTTACGACGCACGTTCAGTACCGATTGTAACTTGGACGTACTTTGAATGGTATACATATCCATCCTAAATTCGAACGAAATCAACTTTATGACATATTATGAATAGACAGCAACGTACGCATGCTGATCGTTATTCTTAGCCGGATCCTTGCTCCACGCGAAATTCCGCTGCTGATCTACAAGTCTCGTCCCGTGGTTCCTGTGATCCTTGCCCCCCACCCATCATTATTTTCTTTCCATACGAAGATGTAGCAAAAAGTGACTCACCAAAGCAACGACGATAAGATCTTTCTTCCTCTCTCCCCCACCTGATCCATAAGTCTTATCAAAAATAGCTTTAACAGTACCGACTACGTTTTGATCTTGTGTGCTTCCGAAGCGGCCGTGGAGGAAGAAGAGCACATGGACGGGGTGTGTGGAACTAGACGTCGAAGTCGGGTGGGAGTAGACGTCGACGAGGAGACCACCGATTAGGAGGGTTTGTTTGGTGGGTTCCATCGTGGGTGCAGGACTAGTGTGGTATCATGATGGGAAGGAGTATATATATCATATACTAATATACATGTCTAGCTCGTCATGTGGTGTCTCGCGTACGTGGCAATGTCAGATGGTGTTTGAGCCATCGTGACTTGTGATAATAGTACTAGCACTGGTCAGACATCTCATCCTGTAAACGTTCAGTGATTCAACAAACCACACACGTAATCATGATAAGGCTTTCGAGAGTCAACATTAATATTCCCCACTTGTGATCATTGCATTTCTCGCCATGAAAAAAAAGTAAAAACCACAAGAGCGTGGCATGTCGATGTCGGCAGGAAACAATGCTGCGACCGTCGGAAACATGTCGGAAACTTCAACCCTGGACCAATTTGACAAACGTTGACATAAGCACATGAAGTTGGGCGGAACTCGTTGAAGTTCAGTCATCTTCGTTTTTGTGAAGTCAAACTCGGATATTTCCTACCACACAGCCTACAACTCACGTCGAATATGAAACAAGAAGATTCAAGTACTTGGCAGTGTGTGTGAAATTGATGAAGTAGAGAGGGCACGAAGGTCTGGGCGGTGGTGGCACGTCCTGTCACCTGTACCTGCTCATATTAACTTTCTTACAACACACACAGAGCCCTGCGTATTATCTTACATATCCCAGACCAGCACATGGTATGCTTTAAGATGCCCAAGCCGCCCGCCCACCCTTGATCCTCGTCACACCATGAATTCCTTCAATAAGCAGGGATGGATCACGTACCACGGCAGCCTTTGGGCCGTATTCGACATCTGTGATGCGGACAAAAAAGTTAGTTTCAGTACTGCATTTTGCTTGAATCATGCTCAACTTTCATCCCCAACTTCATTTTCGAGACTGGGCTTCTGGCAGTGGGCAAGTTCTGCTTGTGATCTCTATGAATATGTTGAGGACATCACCAAGAAGCAAGTCATCAGCCGGGGCCTGCTGCCCGCGGTGGGCGAAACTCAGGGTGGTTATCGCGCACTTGAACAAGAAGGTCACCGTGGGCATGTTTCCGGCAGAGGTAGCGTGTTCCTAGTCTGCATAGACTTCAATACATTCATGATCATACTTGGGCTACGCCAACCCGACGTCCTATAAGTACATTGTTTACCATCAATGTCGATAGAAATCTTACTTTGTCAATAGCAGGTCACGTTTGTCGATTATTTACTGATCTCTTCTAGGTGATTAATGTTCGCACACGGTGTACGGATGACTTGAAGCTTTTAGAGGTTGTATCCCCTGCATGACACGTGTTCCATCAGCTACTGGAGACTAGTATCCACATATCCAACAATTGACCGCACAATGGGATACTATCGTTCGCATGCTACTTTGTCCGAATGGCTTGCGTTAGGTACTCTGGAACCAAGATGATGAGGTTGTTTGTGCTCTGAATGTCTCTTTCTCTACAGAGGGCGATGATGATGTTGATCACACGTTTCCGTGGTTGAATTCTCTGAATTACTGGAGACTAGGCGAGCAAATTGTCTAACTCAAAGCAAGCTCCACGCAATGTTTGGTAAGTTCCAAGTATATCTATAGGTCATGAATAAATCTAAAACGAACAACCACGAGTCAGGGATGAGTGCCCTACGCTACTACGACAGTTCTACTAAAGGGGGTGGAATTCGTCCATTCGCTTATCCAGAAAAGAGTCAGTTGCTTTGATTATACCAGAGTCGCTATGACTTACTGCTGTACGATTGCTGATGGGAGCACGTTGCCGATCTTCCCAATTGACAGCAACACTGTCGTATAGCTTCCCCCAGTCACGGCAGACATGTGTAGCACCAACCCGGTCTTGTTCAAAGTCTCGTGTTGTAAAATCTCCTGCCTCCATGGTCAGATCGGCTTGGCAAAGTATCCATTGCCTTAGATAATTAAGACAATGGTGAGTATGCTCTTGGACATTTTCACCTGCGAGAGCTGCTCGGAAGAGCCTGAGACAGTGAAGCTGATGGAACATAGCCACGAAGAAAGACCTGTTCTCTGCACCCAGAACTACGTGTCCAGTCCCTGGGGGAGAAGTAGAAAGCCATTCTATCTCGGACTCTGGAAGGTCTAGCGCAAATCGTACGCTTTCCTCTGCCACGAATCTCACTTTGCCCGCATCAGGTACTAGGGACTCGGGAAAATCGTCGCCCACGAAAGCTGAAAATATGATGTATGTAAGCTTATCGTGATATTGGACAGAAAGTATACTGACTAAAATTTTTCTGCCACCTTGATGCGCGTATTTTTGAGAGATGCTGAGTGTTCAAGTTTTCCTTTGAGAGTATTGACTTGAATATGATGCTAGTAAGCGCAATAGATACGATAGCGAGGGACATCATCATAATCAAGTAGACCGAACGTTCGAGTCGATTGTTGGGCATGGCTTGACAGAGATTCGATTACACGTACTGATACTTAAAAGGCATCGGGGGTATGCGAATAGGCTAGCATGCCAGCGGGGCTATGCAATGCACATTGATGCAGATTCTTGCCGGAGTTGACATGGACATTGTAGTCAGCCAATTAAAATTGGTTCACCACGGATCTCGGTTGCGGTGCTTGTCTTCCCAAGACCTATTATCAGATGTCTTTTTGTGCGTCTCGCCAGGCACCTCTACTTCTTGTATTTCCTGTTCGTCATCCACATAATAGCTAAATGGTTCAATGTATGCTAAGCGTTTCTCCTGATATGCACCGCATCTGCTGACTGAACTTTTTCTAGGATTGTGCCGCCGCAGCGCCAAGAAGCCTGGAGGCCTCGGCTGGTATCTCCTCAGCTCCAATGCTAGCATAAGCTTCTAAAGTATAGATTGAATATGGAAACAACGACTTTGGTTCGATACACTTACTTCCTCCTAAATCCTGACAAGTCGACTGCAGTGGTGCAAGAATTACACAGACCGCAAATGCTGAGAGGATGGTGAGAATTTTAGCGACCATGTCTCTCGAACGACAATATTGGGTGATGGGTAATGGTGGAAACAGGGGTATCTTCTACAGATTTATATCCATGCTGCGCCGTGGGTATGTTATTGGTGAGTTCCGATACATGGTGTTAACTAGTAGTGTAGTAGTACGCGCACTCGGTGATATGGCATCGGAAGACCGATCCCCTGTGATCAGCCATCAGCGCTTCAGCGCTCAGCGCTCAGCTAGTACTTCGAGCCGGTTTCTATGTAGACCATGTGGGACACTATGAAACAGGAAGGTGGTTTTTTTATCACCGCCTGGTTTCTTGCATCTCACCTTCCAAGATTGATCCTCACTTACACCTCCGAGTCTGATGTAAGTCAGTACAAGAATGAAGATAATTGTTTCTTGACTTGGTTAGAGAGCCTGATACCTAAATTAAATGTTTTTGAACTGTCTTACTCCGAGTCCATGTGCTCACAATAATATCTTTGTCGTATATCTAGCAGTTTCCGATCAATCAAACTTCTCGTGGCGTGCGAGGTACTCGAGAAGCTCCTGCCTTTATCTTTGCTATAGAGCGCCACGATCGATGATACCAACAATAAAGTTGAAATGGGCGCAAGATATCTTGCAAACAATATTCTTGTGATTCGAAATCTATGTAAATGTTTGGATATTCACGTGGCACCATATACACGAGCCCTACCATTACAGGTTCTTATCGTTCATATCACTACTGCTGCCAGAAGATGAGTCGTGATGGAAAGTTGCATGCAGAGTCGTTAGAGAGACGTCAGAGGCCGTATCTTTTGACCATGCAACCCCCGAAGCAACCCTTAAAATGATGAGCTGGGGTGTCAAGACCTAGCAGCAAATTAGAGAGCTCGTCATAGTAGTGTATTCAAACGCACCACAAAGGTTCCCCAGACTATTCCTACCGCCGTCGCACTTGGGACACCTTGGATATAGGTAGCAAGGTAGGCGATCCCCAGAATTGTGAAAGGCAGGGCAGACTCGACCAAAATTTCCATAGTGCCCGTGTAGACACCCTTCTGCTCATCGGTGAGGATAGATCGTACTCGGTGATGATAGTATAACAACCGGGAAATAATCAATACAGTCACGATGACGTTAAAGCTGACAGTTAATGCGACCCATGAAATGCCGAATTGTGCAGCAAGGCCCTGCCATATATCTGACATTGGCATGGCACTCTCAACCACCATGATGATGGCCATAGCTAGACAGATTAACAGTTGGTTTGGTGCCGGATCGATAGTGAAGCACTTACCGGCAGATCCCAAGTATATAATTGCGGGGATGACAATTACTGGCACACTTGACCCCCAAATGATGTAACAGCGATAAAGCTTTCGACATGAATACATGAACATCAGAACTCGATGATGATATATGTTGTAAACTCACCAAGAGTCCGTCCGTCATAATATTTGCGGTGCAGTCAGCCGCTGTGCCAAAAACGTTGTACCAAGCGGCTAAATTCGCAGCAAGAAATGCAGAGGGGCCGCCGGGATAGTTTTGCCTTTCTATCCACATAAGCTCGCAGACGACGATATTACTTGTGCTGGCGATCGTCAAAAGAAGCAAGAGAAGGCCTCCGAAATAAATGTAAAATTTCCTGCGCTCCACTTGCTTGCTTGAGGTCATAAGCAGGTAAGTAGAGTAGGCATATAGGAATAAATTTCCTCCTACACCCGGAGTATGAGCTGTCAACAAGAGACTATTACTGGTAGGATAGAACTTACCATAAATGGCTACAGAAATGGTATTCCCAATATACAGAGCACGCTGCGTAGCAAGTTCAGTGGACGCCATGAGGGACACGGCAAGCTTGGGACAAGTTGGTTGTAGGAATATATATATATCACCGGCAGCGCTTCAGCTGCTAGCGATAGTGATACGGCAGAACATATCTCCGAAAGAATTTTGATGATCAAGAGTCCTAAGTAGTATGAAGCAAAGGCTGTGAAGTCCGCTGTAGATATCATTGTGGCCGCGGCATTTCAGTACTCGATAAGCGGCAGCCCAGATGCGACAATATACAACCATGTAAGGTAACAAAGTCCGTATGCTCAGCGCTCAGCTCCAGCCTGGTTCTTCTTCACTTCCTCCAATACAAAATTCCAATTATTACACACATATATCCCAGGTCGCACGAAAAATTGTTGTAATGAGGTTTCCTTGCTTGCTATCAATATGTTTTCCAGCTGAGCATCACTGCGACACATGATCATCTGACGCAAGTAGTTAAGGCAGTGACGGCTCAGAGCTGCGCTGCTGTTTGCTCTAACAATATCCTCTCGTAGGATATCGAGGCAACGCAATTGGTGGAACATTGAGATCGAAAATGGGTGACCACGCTGTTCCCCCAAATAAACAAGCCCGTTACCCGGTGTTAGGCTGGCCCACTCCGCCCTCCCATCTTCAGTGTTCATCTGATAATGTACTGAATCCTCGAAGGCCATCAGGGCTGGACCAGCCTGTGCTAGGGGCAATAGCCGAGGGAAATCGTCGCCGACGAATGCTGTCATAGAAAATTAATGCATAATTTACATTTCAGTTGCAGACTCGCTCACAATAGACCTCGTTCGTTGTGTTATCAACTTGAAGGCTGCAGAAGAAAAGTATCATGCCGATCTTCATAAAAATGCAGAGAGCGATGATCCAGAGCTGGGTTCGGATGTTGTTGCTAGTATGCATCAGAGTCATTGCGTCCATACTACAAGCAACTTGAAGCAAGTCGTCAGCTTATTCCTGCGCTGTTTATATCAACAATAACGGACGTACTAGGCTTGCACTTGTTCTTGTTTTGCTCATTCTATGTAAGTACTAGTAATACACAAAATAACGCATCAGCGCTCAGCATCGATTAATCACAGGCAGTGTTTGATAGAACACTTACCCTGTATGTTTTTAATTTTTTTGGAGTGTTACGGCCGCCAGTAAGAAGCACATGATGACGTTGATCAATTGATCATGATGGGCTGATGAGCGCTAGTGTGGTTGACAACGTAGCCTGAGCATGATCAAGTTAGACAGACTACACGAGGTGGACAAATAACTTGTAGATGGATATGGGACTTACTAACGAGCAGATAAAACAAGACTGACTAAACATCCTGTGCAAACCGGCCATACGGTTCGAAGGGTTTCTCCAAGTCCGTGATGATGCTCTGACTCCGAGTCGGAAGGGCGTCTAGATAGAACGGACTTGATAAGTCCTATAATGCATCAGTAAGAGTGTGGATATATATGTTATGACTTACCCCAAGTTGACGCATTCCTGCCCTTAATGATATTTTGTTCGCACGGTTCGAGTCGGTGTTTGGTTGTATCCGTAAATACACTGGCAGCACATGGAATCTTCAAGTTATAATTGATGCATCTCTTCGGTACTGCGGAATCAGACTCAATGGTTTCATACAAACACGTCGATCATGCTTCTCGGTGCTAGTATCATAGCCGTTTCAAATTCACTACGTGTTCTTATTCGAACTGTCTTGTTCAGTTAAGTACTGTTCCAAAATCTCGAAAATAGATCCAACATCAAGCTCACTGAGTTGTCTGCGTCTAAATCTCGCTCGGTTTAGTAGTACTCATGTCGCCCAGATTTTCTAATACCACAGAAGGGTACCAAGCTCTCAGTCAGGTCGCTCATTTTGACGATGAAGGTAACCGTATAATTTGTTAACATAGTATCATTGAACCCATGCTCAAAAACTCAGATGTCAAGGATTTACCGCAGAGAACAAACCGCAACCAGATGCTGTCAGTCTGGCTCCTTGCAATCACGATTTTGTGCACTGTCTTGGACTTTTCTATGATCGTCTGGGATCGATTTCTTCGAGTCGACCTTCGCTCTGCTTCAACTTCAGACGAGCTTGAGCCACTCCCGTTCCAGAACCCGTATCTCAACCTCGAGATCCTCTACAAGGATCCTAATTTCAAGAGCTCTACCCACGATCCAATTATCAACAATGCACCAGTAATCGCTCAAGTTTCTAACAAGGAACGCCAAAAAATTCTCCCTCCGTTGCAGCGTTATAGGTCGGTGGAACAACCTGAAACCAGAGCTCCCATGTACGAGCGACAGCTAATAGTAACACACGAAGTATGCCATCGATAAATATTTTATTATATATACTGAATTTTGTCTAGCTCGAGAGCATCGCACAGTTTTGGGTGCTTGATTTTGGCATGGAGAATTGCAGTCTCTCGCTTACTGTCCCTCCAAGAAACAGTACAGAAGATTTTCTCCATACGGATCTCGGCGATTCTGTAATTCTTGATGTCTGGTCTCTACCAGCTAGACATAAGTTGGACCTATACAATCTATCGTGGTCGAAACTTCCCCGACCGAGGGTACACGTTGGTCAGATGAATGCATCACATGGGAAGACATATCGTATGCCAAGCTTTCGATGCAAGTCGCAATCATACCAGACATTTGCGGTTTCCTGCTCTAGTCCTGGTTGTCTTGTGAATGTCACGGGCAAGGATATGGAACCCTCAGGTGTGATCGTCATTATTACTATTGTCGACGATATTCTGACTAGTCCCATATGCAGGGCTATACATGTTTCAGAGTCAAACGATGTAACTAGGCGGGCAGCTGAACTGCGTAAGCAGATGCTTCGTTACAGACGATAAAGAGGATTCCAAAAAAACACACTTCGTTTAGTACTAGGTCTGACAACACTCAGAATGGTTTGGCGTATTAGTATATGACCGCGTGGAAAGTCGTGATCATGATAGAAGTACATCAGACTAATCTGATTTTAGTACGTTTACGGCGTGTCAATGCCCATGTGCCCGAGAGAGAAGTGATCATGATGGAAGTACTACTTACTAGGTCACCACGAGTACTCATATTGATTGTGAAACCTTAGAAACAAGGCTATGTCGCTGTACCGTCGCCAAAAATGCAGTTCAAGTCTCGATGACGTATTCCATATACTACTAGAGAATATTTAAATAATAACTTTCAGTATTTGAAATTATCTTTCAATTGTGCCGCGGTCGCATAACATGAACAACTTTCCGTACAAGCTGGTTGTCGTTAACCAGTTAACAGGTATCGAGCCTACTATCTATCATCACCGTTGTCGGTCACATAGCTCAAGGATGCTACAGAATCTCAGTTGGACGAGTCAGTCATGACATGTGTCAGAGGTTATGTCGACTGTAAGGTGACCTTCAAACCTTTAACGGCGTAGTCGTGATATCTTCCAATCCAGCTCCATCAGTTAATGTCATGACCGGTGGGGACAAGAGTCTCACGGGGCCATTATTCCGCGCGATGATCAGGGCCTGTCTGCTCGCCGGAAGAGTATACATCGCAATAGCCATCGATACAGGCGCCATTGCTGGATTAGCTCTCTGGTTTCCTCCAGGCAAAGTTCTTTGGCAAAAGTCAGTCGAGTTTTGCTAGTTATGCAACTTCGCTCACCATCAGAAGTGATGCGCAGAAAAATCTCGGCTTTAATCAGTTCTTGGAGTCTTTGTCGCCCAAGACAAGAGAATGGTGGATTAACACTGTAAGTACTGATTCTTACTTACTAGTATTCTTGCCGTTGATGTCTCTATCAAAGTATGGCTCTGCACTGGCCCCTTTTATAAAGACGGTGCTGTCTCCTCATGTACGTCCAATCCTGTCATCTGAATTTCTCTTTCAAAAATATTATCAGACTGTTGAGAGCTCCTGGTATCTGAATTGTATTTGCGTCGATCCGAAATATCAACGCCAAGGAATCGCCACGAACCTTATCAAAATGGTGGAACAGAAGGTGTGGTGTTCCAAACGTTCGTTATATATGCATAATTCTAATCTATTTGCAGGCAATGACGACGTCCATCCTTGCGCTCTGCACTGATACTGATACCAATGTGCGTGATCGAAGGGGTCGTCAAAAACTTGCTCATTGCACTACAGGTCGCGGTATACAAGGCGCTCCATTTTCAATACAAGGGAGAAGCGCCTCTACCAACTCCAGACGATGAATATATCAATGTGCATTGTTTCTCTAAGCCTGGCGCAAGGGTGTAGGAGTGGCGTTCAACTGTGTTGGCGGGCGTTCTTATACCTATCGACAAATGTACTTTTCAACTCTACATCGATCTTTGCTAACCATAGAAAGAAGGAAGGTTTATAACCATCAGTTTTGTTAGAGGCTGCTCAGAGGACGATTTTGAATCTGGGAAGTAAACGCTCTGGCGAGTCTTTGGTTGTAAGTTCAGCAACGAGTGTAGTATTGCATGCAAAGGACTGAGGGAAAAGGTGAACGAGGGTAGTGAATCATTCGATTCTATGTAGGATATTGGGGAAAGAAGCGAAACGAGGGTAGGTATGTGAAATTAGTACGTATGATAAGAATGTGCAGAGATGTGTCAAATATGAGTTAAAAAAAACAAGGTCGGGGTATACTCTATGTGACAATTGGGTTGTAACGATGACCATCTTCGTCTACTTGCTTGAGGGAATTGATGGAGCCTTGCATCTATCCATGACGCCCGTCATTTGGAAACTTTATAAGTCTTACCACCCATGACCAAAAATCCTATCGTCCGACAAGACGGACTACAGGGGGACTGCCTATTCCGATTCGGGGTGCCTCCGCTGTCTCCGCAACTTACTCAATAGGTAGAATAAGATGTTAGTCTCGTACCGAGACTGCATCTGCTCTGTCTGCTGCAGCTCCAGACTGTGAGCTACTCGGGCCTGTCCAACTTCGGTAGTTGGGATTATCGGTGAGGGAGAAACGGTCTGGATCTGGACGAAGCCAGGGCGAGCCTGTAATGTAATCACGTTAAAATTTCCCTGTACCCATACCAAGAACGCTTACCCATATCAAAGTAAGTCGATCCTGGTCCAAAAAACATCGGTCAAAGTCACGCGCCGGGAAACCCGTGGGGCAGACAGCAGCAGTGTAAGGATAATTCGTGGTAATGTTTACATTGCTTTGTTTGAACCACGTCCGAGCCGGCTGCTGAGGCCTGCGGATGAGCCGACCTGATGAATCGCAATCATAGACATTATTCGAATATTTCGAGTGAGCAATGGCTCTATTAAAGTCCCAGATATGTGTACATAGAAGTAACCCTCTGCGGGGAGTTCTTCCAGGCTTTGTCCAGGTTCAGGAGCATGATCCTGAGGCAGAGCATATGCCATTTTGCTGCCGAACACGCTGATCCGGTGACTTGGATGATGCGGAAAGCAGCGTGCATACTTGAATCCCCACTCCGACCAGGGGATCTCGACAGGTATCTCTGACTGAGTGGCCTTTGTTGCGAAAATGGCCATATCGACGACTAGAATCACCGACCACGCCTCCAAAACCATGATTTGTGACTCCAGAGATGTCACATAATCGGGCATAAGGTCTGGGTGAACCACTTTCCCGTGAAACGATGGGGTTGTATGAATAGTATAGAGCGGTGCCAGTGGTCCCGGAGTGAATTGAAGACTTTGTTGCACTTTCGGAAGGAGATATGCAATTCGGCGCTGAAGCGGACCGTCGAGTTCTAATGTGTACAAAGCCATACGGTATTCCGAACCGATGACAATGATCCTCTGTTCGTCAAGTAAATGGAAACTCGCCATGGCCCCACCCAATTCGTATAAGGGATACTGCTCGCGCTTAGTGACATAGTTTCAATGATAGAATGGACTTACACCCTTCGCATATCCTTTTCTCCAATCTATCACTTGTATGAAGATGTTCGACGCTGGTCCTCGTAAATTCATGTCGTACGTGTAATAGAGTACCACTACACGATCCCCACAGATCGCAGGCCGACCCACAAATTGATAATGATGGCCGCGTACCATATCATAAGGATGATTGCATTCAAAATAAATGCATGCAGATTTTGGGTGCGAACGTTGCGATGAAGCCATGCGAAATTCCATCGAAAAGACGCAACGATCTTGCCTGTTGCCGTACGACACTGAAACTGCAAGGTCCTGAAGAGGATCGATGACAAATAACCTCGGGGGGAAGAAGAATTCCGGCCAGACGAGGATCTGCTCCGGCCACGTGTGGTTTGGTTTGGTGTTTGCGTCACACCCCCGAATAAGGAGTTTATAGTTAGCGTACATCCACCAAAGCCCACGCTTCATGGATTGCAAGGCAGGAGTGTACGGGCTGACAATATCAACAGCCACTGTTTCTTCAAAAACGGGGTTCAAATGAAAGTCAGACCGCCACATGGACGCCAATCTCTTGAGTGGATACATCTTGCTGGAAACGTCGACCCAGTCCACCGTAGGAGTCTCCGTGAAGCCTTGGGCATAAAGCTCGAGTAGGCATTGGATGTCGGCGAAATTCTGGGCTACATGCCAGAAGGTTTTGCAGGCCTAGCGTAATTCAAAAGTCAGCCCATAGGGTCATAAAACCACGTGAAAGAACGGACTAATACACAACGAGAAAGGTCCTTGAAATGAAGGAGCAGAATGTGACATATTACGGTCTTCAGGAAACGACTGAACTGACTTTTCCATGTTTGACCCAGGGAGCGACAAGGTCTCGTCTACCACGGTGACGATTTTAGAAGAATCCGAGGCTTCAACGTGGAGGAAGTTCGGGTCCTCAGGAAGGAGCCAGATTGGTGCTGCCAACCTTGACTTGGGTGTCCTAAGGATGTGCTGGCGGCTGCTGGCGCACCCCATAATCCTGTGAGTGTGGCGCTCTTCCCAGAATGTTGAAATGTCGAACGTTGAGCAGAGTTAGCGCGAAGTTCTACCACCGACTCCGCGGCGTGAAATATGGGATTTTGCTTGCACAAAAGTTTTACTGAAGGTCTTAGTTGCAGGCATGTTTCTTGCGAGTCTGCGCTGCCGCGAGTTGCATATCGACCATGCTTCACGTACAAATCAAAATGTCTTGCCAGCTTGTACGGTAAAGCGGGGAAACATATTGCAACATGTCATTGTGCGATGAGTCGATGATGACTTACATTTACTGTGGGAACTTGTATGTATGTACAAACAAATTTCTGACTTTCGGCCGTGCTTAGATCTTAGTCTACTTATTCAAGCATAACGAGTCACAAGTTTTATGTAGTATATTTTTGTTCTCTCAATTACTTTCACGATTTTCTATTCTCAACCGTCCAAATGGCCTCAGATGCACTCTCCAGAGTGCTTGCGAGGTTGCAAAATTTACCTGTGATGTCTCTGCCCACAGATTATCCGCGATCGACTGGTGCTAACAAACTCATCGAAGCCGCTCATCTGGCAGATCTTTCAGAGCAGACCTCACTCAGTCTTCTGAAGCTTGCTCTTCATGCCGACAGCGAAGATGCTGGAGAGGACGAGAATAAAACCTCTGAAACTAGACCATCGGCCTTCCATCTACTCCTCTCTGCTTTTCTCGTCCTCCTACACAGGTACACTGCTGATACAGACTTCGTGATCGGCTCCTCTTCTGCTGCTGCAAGCTATCCTTTGATTCTTCGTCTTTCCGTAGAGCCATCAGATTCATTCTGGACTATCGTGCGCCGGGTTCAGCACGTCGAACGCGAGGCCGAAGCAGACCTGCTGCCCTATGAGACGATCATGCAGGCTTTACACAAGGACAAAGACGACTCTGTTGAAGCATCTCGTCCTCTTTTCCGTGTCCGTTTCTTCGATGAAACAGATCAACCACAAGATAACTTTATCCGATCCACTAGCTTAACGTCCGATCTTACCATCTTCGTCACGCGGCCCCCCACTACTACACGCGCCTCCTTAGCTCCCCACATTTCCCTTCGAATTCTCTTTAACTCCTTGCTGTTCACACCTGCCCGCATATCGTTCATCGTCGATCAGCTCTCAGTGCTTCTAAGGAAGGTGTCTAACAATCCGACTGCAGCGGTCGGCACTGTTCCTCTCTTGGCGGCTGCCCAACGCGAACGCTTGCCCAATCCAACAGCAAATTTGCATTGGTGTGACTGGAAGGGAGCTATCACAGATGTGTTTTCCTCTAATGCGCAGAAATGGCCTGATAGGCCATGTGTTATTCAAACCATACCTGCCTCGATTCATAGCGAGCCGCAGACGAGGCGAACATTCACTTACGGAGACATTCGAAGAGCCTCCAACATCCTAGCGCACCACCTCGTAGCAGGTGGTGTGAAGAGGGAAGAAGTTGTCATGATCTACGCACATCGTAGTGTCGAGCTGGTCGTAGCTGTCATGGCTGTTCTTAAAAGCGGTGCGACATTCTCAGTCATAGGTACGATCTTTTGTGTTTCGTTTAGTTCACTTGTAACTTGGGTCAGATCCTGCATATCCGCCTTCACGGCAGATAATATACCTTCGGGTAGCTCAACCTCGTGGCCTTGTTGTCCTTTCAGGTGCTGGAAAAATTGCACCTTCTGTGCGCGAATTTCTATCCACGGAACTCAAAATCCGTGTGGAGGTACCCGCGCTTGAATTTTCTTCTACTGGTCAAATACTCGGAGGCGCGAACGACGGAATCGATGTTTTGAAGCCGCAGGTCCGCCTCGCAGAAACGGATCCTAATGTCATTTTAGGTCCCGACAGCATCGGCACGCTGTCTTTCACCAGTGGAAGCACTGGGATCCCCAAGGGTGTTCGAGGACGCCATTACAGTCTCACGCACTTCTTCCCTTGGATGGGCGATCGCTTCTCGCTCACTGAAGCTTCCAAGTTCACAATGCTGAGCGGGATCGCCCATGATCCCATCCAACGTGATAGTACGTACTATATTTTCGAGCAGGTACCTATCCGTTGACGGGTTTAACGCCACAGTTTTCACGCCTCTCTTCTTGGGTGCAGAACTTCATGTACCCACAGCAGAAGACATCGGCACACCTGGCCGTCTCGCGGAATGGATGGACGACAGCAAAGTTACAGTCACGCACCTAACCCCTGCCATGGGTCAGTTACTCTCTGCACAAGCGACGCGTCAGATCCCATCCCTACGAAATGCATTCTTCGTCGGTGACGTCTTGACAAAGCGCGATTGCCTCCGCCTCCAAGCGCTCGCCACAAATGTCCAGATCATCAACATGTACGGCACAACAGAGACGCAGCGCGCTGTATCTTACTTTGCGATTCCACCCTTATCCATGGATGCGACTTTCCTCGCCACTCAGAAGGATATCATGCCAGCTGGAGAGGGCATGATTGATGTGCAACTCCTTGTCGTCAACCGCAGTGACAGAAATGTCCCTTGCGCAGTAGGAGAGGTTGGAGAGATTTATGTGCGATCTGGAGGCTTGGCAGAGGGATACCTCGATACCGAAGCTACCGCCGAGAAGTTCGTTAGCAATTGGTTCTCTAATCCTACTTCACTCTGGAGGGACACGATTTTACATCCGCTCCAGGGCCTTGCTGGGCCCGAGTCACGTCATTGGAAGGGCATCCGTGACCGGATGTACCGTTCGGGCGATCTTGGTCGGTATCTCCCTGATGGGCGCGTTGAGTGTACAGGGCGTGCAGATGACCAAGTCAAGATCCGTGGTTTCAGGATCGAGCTTGGGGAGATCGATACATTGATGAGCCAGCACCCGCTCGTGCGGGAAAACGTCACGCTCGTACGGAGAGACAAAGACGAGGAAAAGATCCTCGTCAGTTACTTCGTGCCTTTGCAGGGCTCGAAGCTGGATGGCTTTGCTAGCGAGCTCACGGAGGATGACGAGAAGGTTGATGGCAAGAGTCCAAAGTATAGACGACTCATCAAGGATATTAGAGAGCACCTCAAAAAGAAACTGCCTAGTTATAGCATACCATCATGTAGGATTCACCATTGCCTTGTTTTATCTCCTTTACTTAACTCTCCTTTACAGTGTTTGTTCCGCTGCATCGTATGCCTCTCAACCCCAATGGCAAGATAGACAAACCTGCCCTTCCCTTCCCCGATACGGCACAAGCCCACGCTGTGTACTCCGAGCCCAAAAAGGCAGTTAACGGGCGTACAGCGAGCCCCACCGAACAAACCATGCGCACTATCTGGGCCAGTATTCTCCCGAACGCGCCTACGCCTATCCCCCTCGACGAAAGCTTTTTCGATCTGGGCGGCCATTCTATCCTTGCCACACGTCTCATTTTCGAGATCCGCAAAGTCTTCGTTGTCGAAGCTCCGCTTGGCCTTATCTTCGACCAGCCGACTATCACAGGCCTCGCTTCGGCGCTAGATGCGATTCGTGACCCGAACTTTGGTATCGCTTACGAAGACGCTGCGACGCGCCCTGCGACACCTGCCAAGGCGCCTGCGAAATTGAGTTCTGCTATTCAGTATGGACAGGACTACGAGACGCTCGTTCAACGCTTGCGACTCTCGTACCCGCCGATATCTGAGGACTTCAAGTCTGGTGCTGTTACTGTGTTCTTGACGGGTTCTACTGGTTATCTCGGGGCTTTTGTGTTGCGCGATCTCCTCCAGCGCCTTGATAGGGTTCGGAAGGTCATTTGCCTCGTACGTGCGCCCAGCGTTGAACAAGGTGTGGCGCGCCTTAGAGAAGGGTCCAGTGACCGGGGCGTTTGGGATGAGCAGTGGTTCACCTCGGGTAGACTCGAAGTGGTGATTGGAGACCTTGGCCTTGATTTGTTCGGTATGGGCGATGAAGTCTGGTCACGAGTCGCTGCTGAGGCGGACGTCGTCTTGCACAATGGTGCCCTGGTGAGCTACTCTACCTTTTCGCATGCATACGGTAATATCTAATGATGTATTGCGCAGGTCCATTGGGTGTACCCATATGAAAGGCTTCGTGCACCGAACGTGATCGGTACCTTGACTGCTATAGAACTCGCCTCGACTCAAAAGCAGAAGCTGCTTGTTTTCGTTTCATCGACATCAGCGATTGACACTGAGCACTATGTGCGGTTGTCTGACTCTCTGGGACAGTCTCGGGACTCGCGGAGAGGTATTCCGGAAGATGATGACCTGGAAGGTGCAAAAGTGGGTCTTAAGTCCGGCTATGGCCAGAGCAAATGGGTGTCAGAAAAGTTGCTCTTTGAAGCTGGTAGGAGGGGCCTACGGGGCCATATCGTGCGGCCTGGCTATATTGTTGGCGATTCGCACACTGCAGGTATGGAAGCTGCTTCTGTGAGATGTTGACATATTGACTGTGAGGCCCCATAGTAACAAACACAGACGACTTTATTTGGCGCATGGTCAAGGGATGCGTCCAGCTCGGCCTTGTTCCAGATATCAACAACACTGTGAACATGGTGCCTGTAGATCATGTTGCTCGTTGCACTGCGCTCGCTGCCGTGGAGCCCCTGCCAAACGCTGCGCAAAGTGTGCTACACATTACTGCGGTGCCCCCTCCAACATTCAACAACATCCTCTCATCGTTGGCCGAGTACGGGTTCCCTACGCAGCAATGCGAGTATCTCATGTGGCGTCGCAAGCTGGAGCAGCACGTCATGGAGGTCCAAGATAACGCCCTTTTCCCCCTCCTCCACTTTGTCCTTGATGACTTACCGACGAGTACCAAAGCTCCCGAGCTTGACGCCACCAACACTATGACGTTGTTGCGCTCCCAAGGGCAGGAGTGCACATTCACGGTTTCGGATGAGCTGATGGGAAGATACCTTGCGTGGTTAGTCGGAGCGGGTTTCTTGCCGGCGCCGTCTTCATCGGCACCAAACAAGACATTGCCCCAGTTGGTTAACGGCGCCGTCATCAAAGCTGCAGGTCGGAGTGGTGCTTGAGTGGCAAGTTGGATATACAATTTATTCATGCTGTTTTTGGTGTTTTCGTGTGAAGAACAACTGTGGTATTGCCTCCTTCGAGTCGCTCTGCGATGAATGTTGTGAGATACAACATCAATAAGTCAGCATCTGGTGAGCATGTGATCGTTCGTCTGCCTATCCGTGGTCCGTGGATGGCCCTTTGGGTTAAACCTTGACCTGAGATGACTTGAAGACAATACCCAATATATTGATAGGGGGATTAATTATTAAAGCATAACTGTTCCTATACGACATCGTTACCGGCGGGCTCTACGAAAGGTGTTATGGTGGACCTTGAAGTTGCCAAGGAATACCAGAGATCTGGATGAACGACTAAAGAAGATGATTGGAAAGTGCTTGTTTCATCCCTCTTGTTCCTCTTTCTCACTTCCGAAGGACTCGGGAAGTTTAGCATCGATATTGCAATTGCAATAATTCAGGCAGTTGGATCCATGCACACGCGATGTATCGCTGTGATGGGCCATGACAAATTCGTCTACAGTAAGTTCTGGACTGGATACGGTTTGGGAGAACTCTGAGTATTTTTTGCAGTCATGTTTCCGATACGGTACGCGATAAAGTTAGTCAATCACTGCGGACTCGGACAAGAGCGAACAAGACGCTTAAAACCTTCGAGGGTAACGAAAAAGGCGTTTGCCTTTTCCTATAAAAACCATAGGTATTCGTGACCGTATGTACGATTCAGACCAGCCGACGGAGTCGGATGGACGTCTCATAGTCAATCACTGATTCATAATGATCAAATCCTGATATTCATTTCAGTGCTCTAGAGCTGTGGCACCCTTGCCACCAATCCTGATTGGCAAGCGAAACAACTGTCGAAAGTTTTGCTAGCAAAGGCTTGGCATATGGGGGACGGTGATTATCATTCCCCGCAGGGGGCTCGCGATCGTCCTCACATAACCCTACTTTCCGAGAGCCATGTCATTACAACATGTCGCCACTCGAGTACAGTGCTGTACAGTGACTCGAATCCTTGGAATGGAAATATCAAGGACATTGCGGGTCCTACATCAAGCTAAGTATTACTGCTCCCAAATTCCAATAGACAAAAATTGGACAGCATAAAAAAAGCTTTTACGCGCGAGCGTCGGTGACTATATATATAACATTGTAGTGTTGCATTTTTCACAAAGGAGGAGAGAGGACTAGGAATGCTGATATAGATATTGATACCTCTACGAAGTATGAGGGTGTTGTATTGGGGCACGTGTGAGATGTTCATTGAATAGACGTACGTGGTGAGATAAAAATGTGCAGCAGCGCTGCACCCCCAGGCCTATGGGGAGAAGATATCTTGTATGTGCCTCATAATGTGAAAGTGCTGACTTGTCACTAGTTGTGCCGATTGCAACGGAAGGAGCGCAATTACTAACCGCATTAAGCGGTCAGCGCTTAAGTTGGCTTTTGTAGGCGCTTCAAGTCACTTTAGCGTTTTCATCCGTCACTGATCCTTGACGATGGTCCGAATTTCGCATAGGACGGTGACTGTAGCTATCTGACTCAGAGGATGATCCATCCATGGACAAACCATTGCGTTGGATCGGCCTGTGGACTATACTGGATCCGATGAGGTATCGAGGAACAACATCGCCTAATAAGCTGGTCAATTTTCCATTGCATCGATTCAAATTATGCCTTTCCAATCCTCCTAGTCTTCCCTCCCATCGATCTTCAAGCATATCATCGTCACTCGCTCGAACCATAGTCATTCTTATATTTCATTTTTCATCTACGTCGTCTCTCACCCTAATTCGAATCAGCGACCGCTGTATAACTTACCCAACGATATATCTATATCCTCACATACATACCAACTAACCTTGATCTGAATTTTCTGTCTCATTTCACAGATGGGAGAGTTTGCCATCGTAGACAATCAAGCAACGGAGAAGTATCTGCGGATAGCATCGATCTCCGTTGCATTATACGAGTGAAGCTTTTTTCTGTGATCACTGGGTCGTGACTGATTTTTTTTTCAGTTATATCATTACCATCCCTGCAGAATGGCGCTTTTACCGAAGCCAATCGTCATTTTCTCGTCTCCGGTATGTACACGCACTATTCGCGTACCACCACTCGCCGACAACTGCAGTCCATCAGACTTGCCTGCATCTTATTCGTTCTCATACGGTACGTCTGTCCTCGTCCCATCATGCGACTTTTTCGCTGACTTTTATGAAGCTATGGTAGTATCATGGTCATGATAATCAGCAATTACGGAGTCTTCTCCACCAGTTTCACCCAAGAAACGTGTAAACACTACTTTATGGTTTCGCCTATTTTTAAAGGTCAGTCCTATCGATGTTCAACCACCAGAGCTCTGTTCACCTCCCTGTAGTTATACAGACTATGATATCACAGGTCATTCTAGGTGTCAGGTATATCTTGTGCATATCTAGCTGTACAGAATTTTACGTCATCTAGGACATTCAATATTGCAAGGAGGGATAGGCGGATAGGAATTGCACTGGTGGTGCTTTACTTTGTCTCGGTTTTGGTGGGTTATTGCGACATCAGTGTGACATCTCTCTTACTACCTGGTTTAGCTGGAGTGGTTCACCAATATGTTTGACCGGATACGTGAGCTTCTGACCTATATCTTGTCTAATTCATGTTGACATTAGAACCAAATAGCCGTCGTTGTTAATGTACGTCCATGTGCCTCCTAACAAGATTCACACAAACAGCGCAGTTTCTAGGGAAAGTAAGCGGTGCCAGTACCGATGTGTTGCTCAAAACCTTATGCACCGTAGCTGCACTCCAGGAAATTCTGGTAAGATACTGTCGGCATGGTTCTACTACACCATTGCGATGTCGTATGACCTTATGGTGTTAACCATCTCCACCGTGTATCTTCTACGGTACAATCCTCTCAACAGCAGGTACACCCATCTTCTTCCTGAATGACTATAGTTGCTGACCTATCGCTAGACTGGAACGGCTGGTGCGGGTGTAAGTCCCTCGATACTCTCACAGTGATGGAGAATTGCTCATCGTGCTCAGCCTGATTTATGATGGCATTGGTCATTTTGTCGTGCTGACAGGTAGGTACACTCTACTTGTGCTTCACACACGCCACTGAGTAGTATTTCATCAGGATCGAACGTATTTAACATTGTCCTTTATCATACATCCGATATTCAGACCCAGGTATGGTTTCTCTGCCATGGTCCATGGAAGCTTAGTGCGCTTATGTTGTATTCATGCTATTAGGCGGCAGGGTAAGTTTTGCAACATCCATCATGGTGTCGCTCAAGGGGCATCACCAGGGCATCAATAGGTTTCGTTGTAACATGGATTATGTGCCAACGGATCCTCATCCATCTGCGAGGTGCGCACCACTCCAGAGTTTTACTACTCTTACGCTAATGATGGCAATTTCACTCATCTGCTCCCGTCACACACAGAACTGTCAGAAGCAGAGACTCGACGTCTAGACAACGCAGCCGCCGCGCGTTCCCCACAACACGCTCGGGACGTGGTGTCCGCTATTCGTTCTCCCCTCACAGCCAAAAGCCACGGCCACGATGATGGTGAATCTGGACTTAACGAGCACACAAATGACATGGAACTCGACATTTGTACATGTGTCAAGCCTTGGAGACGATGGATCACACGGATGAGTGTGGACTTTCTAGTTCGTGGGGTGTTCCGATGGGAGGATGATACTGGGTGCGATGTGCAAGTATATAATGTACGGCATCTGCAGTGACGACATGTGACATGTAAAGTCTCCGAAGCAGGGTTTTTTGTCGAGTTGCGAAAGGCGGACTAAAGAATCCTATTTAATTTTACCTGGAGGATTACATACCCACGAAAGAAATGCATACAGAATCCGGGAATAAGGGTGCCAACCGAAACGCCGGTGAAGAGACATGATGGTCCTGCTTAGCAACGTTCATGAATGGTGCGACCGGCTTGAATGCCTTGCAGAAGGTCAATGACAGCTGACTTTGACATGCCTTGCAAGTGCCACGTGCGTGGTATTTGCGTCGCACACATTCGAATGAAGAGTTTACCCGCAGCGTTACATCCACCAAAGGTCCAAAGTCCACACTTTACGGATTGTCCGCAGAAACGCTCTTCGAAAAAAAAAAAAAAAAAGTTCGACTATTAATAAGTCAGACTGCAGCTGCCATATGGGTGTCAATCCCTCGGGATACGTGACTCATTTTGCTGGAAACGTCAGATTTATTCAGTTCATTTCGGCCCTGATCATAGGCATTGGATGCCGGCAGGGGTCCGTTTTTTTTTGCAAACCTAGCGCGGAGGAAAACAGACTACACAGTGAGGGGGGACCCTGGATGTCAACTCCGTGAAGCGCCGACAAGATCTAACCGGCATGATGATGGTTTCAGAAAGAAAATCCGAGGCTTCAACTTTTGAGTTACTCACGGGAAGACGAATGTCAGGCTAGTAGCCGCTAGTTGAGAAGTTATCACCAATCATGTGCGCAGTCAGGGTGTACTTGGGCAGGCCGACGCGCCGAACTATTCTAGGTCGCACGAATATTTGAAATCCTCTACGTGGACCTCGCTCGTTGATTCGAAGGTTTTGACGTTTTAGGGTACGTGTGGCAGGCGCAATGTGCTTACATCATTTGGTGTTCCTTGCAAGAGGACATTGAAACGTTTAACCGAATATTTCCGATCTAGGGACGACTTTTGTCTTCTGAACGTTTTTCACCTACTAGGCCCGAGCCCATAGTACGCGACTCGGAGCACTCTCGGAGCATGTCTAATCAATTTCAAAGTGTAGATGGTACAAAAGCCCCGATGCCCTTTTCCCCCCAGTCGAGCTTCCTTTCTCTGCCGTCCGGGTGTAGTAGAAGAAGCCTAATTGTATCTTTGCCAGCAGCTTGTTCAGACACAGCTCTGAGCTACCACCACCTGACACCTTCGACTGTAGCGCGCCTTTCATCTATCAAATGGATCGGAGTGTGTCTTTGGATAGTGCAACCTCCGAGAAATATTTTCGAGTCGCATCCATATCCATCGCGTTTTACGAGTAAGTATCTCTTTTGTTTGAGTTTGAGTTCCTTGATGATCACTGTTCTGAACAACATCTATCTAGTTATCTCATCACGCTTCCCGCAGAATGGCGGTTTTACCGAAGTCAATCATCAATTTTCCATCTCAGGTACATCGATATTCGACATTCACCTACCGTCATTGACAAATTTCTATCAGCCTTTCCTGCGTCTTGTTTATTCTCATACGGTATGTGTCAACATTCTGCTTTGTAGTTCGCTTTTGCTCACATTTGATACAGGTATATCAGTGTCCTGGTCATGGCACTCAGTAATTACGGATACTTTGCCACCGGATTTACACAACAAACGTGCCAATATTACTATCTCGCGACGCCTGCCTTCAAGGGTTCGTCCCATCGATGCTCACCCGCCACCGTAATATTCACCACGTTGTAGTCATACAATCTATGATATCACAGATCATCCTGGGTGTTAGGTACATCCTATTTTTTTCTGTTGGTGCACAGACCTAAACGCCCCATAGGACGTTCAATATCGCAAGGAGAGATAAGACACTAGGAATTTTACTGTTACTGCTATACTTCATCACCATTTCGGTACGTTCTTGTCACAAGTATACCGTATCTTCTCTCTTATATGTTCAAGGTGGAATGGTTCACCAACCTATATCACCGAATCCGTAAGCTCTGGCCCATATTTCGACCCTTGGTTGTATTGACCTTCAAAACCAATAGCTGTCGTTGCTCAAGTACGTCAATGTTTCTCGGAGTGAGACCTCACTAACATAGTACCTTTTCTAGGGAAAGTAAGTGGTTCCTTTAGCACTAGTGTGGACTGTCCAGATTCTCACGAACCATAGCTGCACCCCGGTAAATTCTGGCAAGCTATTGTCTGCCTGGATCTACTACCTCGCCGCAATGTTATATGACCTGATAATGTTGACGATTTCCACCATACATCTTCTACGTTATGATCCGCTCAGCAACAGGTGCGCCTTTTCTCTTCTTTGTCTTTAGGTTTGCTAATTCATTACCGTCGTTAGAGTGGGTCGATTGGTACGAGTGTAAGCCCATCGCTACTGGTACAGTTGATGCGCGTCGCTCATCATTAGTAGCCTGCTATATGACGGTATTGGATATTTTATCGTGCTGTCAGGCAAGTCTGCTCTGCCTGTAACAATCACCCTCCTAAAATGTCTTTAGCGACGAACCTATTAAACCTCATTCTTTATCACACGAGCAATGCCGAGACCCAGGTACGTAGGCTTTTTCCGATTTGCTATGGAAGTTCATCATGTCGTCTCGCACCTATAATCAGGCGTCGGGGTAAGTTTAGCATCTTCTGGCGTCAAGGAAATTCAGATCGATCAGAATGCTTCATTAGGGCATCAATGGGTTATGCTGTAACATGGATTATGAGCCAACGGATTCTTATAAATATACGAGGTGCGCACCGCTCCAGAGTTTGACTGCTCTTCCGCTGACGCTTGCGGTTTTCATTTGTAAAGAAATGACAGAGCCAGACCCTCGATACTTGGAAAACGTAGTCATCGCGCGTCCCGCCACATTCAGCAGCGCGCGGAAGAATGCGATGTCCGGTCTCCGCTCGCAGTTCGAATTAAAAAGCCACTCTAAAAATTCTAAAAGCCCCATTAGTCCAGAGTTCCCGCCCACATCATCTCGCAGTGGGCATCCCGATGGCGTGGAACTCGATGTGCGTGTACGCGTCGAGCGCTCTGTGAAGGTAGACTATGGTTCGACTTCGTGGGATGACCCAACGGTGAAATGAATCTGGAGGCACTAGTGCCTATCAGGTCATATATATATCCGTGTTCAGTGCTACTAGTACTGTCACGAGCTTTGCCTTGTTCGCGCAAGTTGGATATAGGTGTTACGGAAACAGGAACTAGACGGTGCCGTTTTAGCGGTGGGGTTACAGTCGAGGAGCTAGCTAACGTACTACTTTTGAGTGATATCCGCCATATGCTTATACCATCTGCATTGCTACCAGGGTGCTGTCTTCGTAACTTTCCCAACTTGGGGCTGCGTGGAGGATACAAAGGATTATCGATTATCACGAACGACAGCAATCGCCACGAGACTCGTAGGAAGTTGGTAGGAAGAGGGGGAAAGAAGCATTGAGTAAGGTACGGACGGGCCCCCAAAATCTCTTTTTCAGCTACACAATGCGCTGCTTGCCCCAAGCGGGATATACATACATTACCAGGTAATGAGCGCTACAATACCGTGTGTGTCCCATATCTTGTAACTCGTGATCAGCTTGGTGTGTACTACCGAGTGGCGGGGATCCAAGGGCCAGACTGGTCGCGAGTTTAATATGAGCGCATACAGTAAGTAACATTGCACCCTTCCCAGTGGCTTCCCAGTGGAAGTTGAGGCCTGAGGCGCCCCGCGCGCAAAAGATCCGCAACTCGGCGCATGCGTTTACAGCGCCAATGTGAATGGTGTGCCAGGGACAGGCTGCGGGGAGAATAGGTCTACAACTTCTAGAGCAGGCAACGATTCTCTTCTGTGGCTTGTATGTATGAGTTGGAAACGCACCAGACTGTTGCTATCGCTGAATTCTTCAACCTCAGACCGCATTCGCAGGAATGACAGAACCATGGTTCTTACTCCCGGTCAGAGATGAAGGATTTTGGGGTGCGCTACTAGGCGTTTTCTCACTCATAAACTTTCATGAGAAAAGATAAACGTTCTAGTGTTTCCATCCTTTTATAAATGCGTATAGGTTTCGTTGATATGATGTCACGAGGTGATGGATGCACTTGTGTTCGAATAGTAGACGGCCGCATAAGATGATATGTTCCCATGTTTTGACATAGTTCCACGCATGGGGCAGTCGTGGATTTGATAGGTACAAATGAGGAGTGCGATAAAGCCCGCACCTCGTGCGTGTCGGTGAATGCTTGTGGGTTGAAGTGATAGTGGAAATTTGTTTGCGAGTGCAGGGTTTGCAGATCCTCCGATATGGGTGGTCAAATCTCCATCGATTCCTTGGCATTGACGACCTTTCCCCGTTCCTTCAAAGCACGTTTGCATATGCGGTGGGAAGGAAAACGTAGCGCCTGGCTGTGTATATGCACATTTTCCCCTTTAATGCTGTGGCCATGATGGCTGGGCACATATGCGATCTGAACATGGCGAGGGCGTGACGCAGGCAGGAATTCTTCGGTTGTCGTAAAGCGATAAGTTCTGAGATGGCAGTCAACAGTTCAATAGTTCACATGCACCTGCTTATATAAGCCGTGGTACAACTGGGGTTGCAAAGTGTCACTTTGCACTGCCAACATCCGAGTCATTGCGAAGGACTGCTGCCTTGCAATGAATGTTACTGAGTCCGATCGATGGACCTGACCACGCTTTCTTTCCCCGTTCTGATATTGCTTACTCCAGGGCCTTTAATCAGCAGTTTTGGTATCTAGAAAAGCATGGCGCTACTAACTTAGGATGTGGATTTTCTATTCATAACACGTCCCTTCCCAGCGAAGTATCTGTGCCATTGGTTTCCCGTCCGAGTCCATCATTAATCGCTTGGATATCAACCTCCTCAATATATCATCACTCTGCTGTCAGCTTCTGTCGCAGAGCTTGTATAATCACCACAGACGCTACGAACTTGATTTCGCATTTCCTCACTTCAAATGATTTTGCGTGCGGTTGTAGACAGCCAAACCTCGGAGAAGTATTTGCGAATTGCGTCCATTTCCATTGCATTGTATGAGTGAGTCTTTCATTCATTTGTCGAGTGACGGACTCGTAGTAATGGTCACTGTGTTGCTGATTATTCTGAACGATATCTACTTTCAGTTATGTTGTCACACTTCCCGCAGAATGGCGGTTCTACAGAAGCCAATCCTCAATTTTTCACCTCAGGTACGTGCACATGACCATTCACGTTCCACAAACTAACGAACACGTTCTTGATCAGTATTTCCTGTATCTTATTTATCCTCATACGGTATAGTTGTCCTCACCCCATCATGAGAAGATTGTTGCTCACTTTAATGGTGCAGCTATGTCAGTATCGTAGTCATGTTATTTAGCAATTACGGAGACTTCGCCACCACCTTCACCCAAGAAACTTGTCAAGATTACTACATTTTAGCGCCTATTTTCAAAAGTCTGTTCTGTCGGTGTTCACCCGTCAGGGCTCTATTGATCACGCTCTAGTTCTACAAACGATGGTATCGCAAGTCATCCTCGGTTTCAGGTATGTGCTATGGAATTTCTATGTCGCCAGCCAGAATCTTACACCAACCAGGACATGGAATATTGCAAGGAGAAATATGCGGGTAGGAATTACTCTAGCGCTGCTATTCCTAACTGCAATTACGGTGTGTTCCTAACGCGCAGTCTAATATCCATCACTCATCCGGTTTAGCTGGAGTGGTTCACCAATATGTTTGACCGGATCCGTAAGTCCTAGCCTATATTTTGACCTCAGTTCACACTGACTGTTGTTTGAATTAATAGCTGTTGTCGTTGATGTACGTCGGCGTTCCTAGTAACAAGATCTAACGCGAATGTGTCCTGTTTTAGGGAAAGTAAGCGGTACCTTAGTGTGGGTTACTCAAATCCTCATCAACCGTAGCTGTACCCCAGGAAATGCTGGCAAAACATTGTCCGCCTGGCTTTACTACGTCACTGCGATGATGTATGATCTCGTGATCTTGACGATTTCCACCACGCATCTTCTGCAATATAATGTTCTCAGCAGCAGGTATATCTTCTCTCTTCTATACCTTCAGAATCGCTGAACCATTGTTAGGCTAGAACGAATAGTACGGGTGTAAGTTCCTCACTACTCAATGACATGGCGTCACTCATTGTACTCAGCCTGATGTATGATGGCATTGGATATGTGGTCGTACTGACAGGCAAGTAAGTTATGTTTGTACTAATCACCCTTCTAATGATTCTTCAGGATCGAACATATTGAACATAGTCTTGTATCGCGAGTCTAATGTCCAAACTCAGGTAATTATATCCAACTTCCGTACGCCATGGAGACTTACTGCGATTTCCGTCCGCTTCTATGATCAGTCGGCAGGGTAAGCTTTTTATCGTCGGGTATCGAGATGCAGACTGCTCAGAGTGCACCATCAGGGCATCAATAGGTTATGCCGTGACATGGATCATGAGCCAACGAATTCTTATCCATTTACAAGGTGCGCAACATCCCAGTGTTCTTTTCTTCGGCTGACGTTCACAATTCCCATTCCTTCCGTTATGCCCGCCCCGTTCACCTCGCACAAAAAGAAATGCAAGAAAACCCGCATATGGAAAGTGTGGTCCTCGCGCGTCCCGCACAAAATGCGAAGAACTTGATTTCCGGTTTGCTCTCTAAAAGCAATGTCGACTTCGTGACATCGCCGCGTAATATGCGCACCAACAATGACATGGAGCTGGACATACACGTACGCGTCGAGCGCTCGGTGGTCGTAGACTACGAGGATGGATCTGAGCATCCGAATACAAAGTGGTATGGTGGACCTGGAAGCGTCGCCTAATAGGTCCTTACCTGTCAAGTGATACTAGGTGATGCACCGCTATATATATACACCCCATATCTGCTGTGCCATTCGATTTTCAAGTAGTTTTTATGGGTGTTCGTGCACTGGTCCTTAGGTCCGTCTTTGACATGCAACCTTTGACAGTTGAGTGATCGCGTGACGGGCACTGATCATGTATAGGCTATGGAGCCGGGAGCGAGGAACTTGGGGGAGCGCTACGATTGGAAACGGAAGAACATAGACCGTAAACTTTCCATTTCCATCTTCACTGTGCATGAAATAATAAGTGTAGATCATAGGAAAACAGGCTGAAACAGGGGGAGATCGTCGGTCAGTTGAAGCGCGGCCCCCGCTGGTGACATGTAATTGAGCTATGTCGGGCCGTCGGCGGCCTATCACGGTATTTGTTTTTTGACATATATAGTGTGTCTAAGATGTCACACCTCGAGTTTCAGCTTCAGGCTCCGGCCTCGGCAGGCAAACTATTGACTTGATGGAGTAAGTCTAGGGTAAGTAGTCTTGATATAGGGTACAAGGTTATCAATATTACAGGTCATCTTGGATGTTAGGTATGTCCTATCATTTTTTGTGGGTACACAAACCTAAACGCCCCGTAGGACATTCTATATCGCAAGGATCATTGCATCATGCATTAGGAGCCCACAGATTCTCATCCATCAACGAGGTGCCCAGCGCCGCGGCTCCAGAACTCGACGCCTCTTCTGCAATTCCCACTCATTCCCTTACACCCGTCCCGTTTCCATAGCACAAGAAGAAATGCATGAGACCTCATATATGAAAAGCACGATCCTCTCGGCGTGTCCCGCACAAAATGTGAGGAACGTCATCTCCTCGAGCCTTCGGTAGTCCTAGACTACACGGGTGAATCTCAGGATTTTGGGGATAAAGTGGCAAGATGAATCTGGAGGCGTTGCATAATAGCGCCTGTGGCCCTGCCAAGTGATACCTGGTGATATACCGTTATACAAATATACACCGGCCATGCCATGTAATTTCACTGCAAGCTGTTCTGAGTCTCGTGTATTAGTAGGTCCATCCTTGGCAACCCTTGGCAGTGGTAACGAGCCCTGATTGCATATAGGCTACGGTCCCTACGGAGCCAGGAACTAAGCACTATTAGCAATTGCAGTTTGAGCGGTGGAAGATAATGCTACAATACATCCTAGTATGGAACGGAAGAACGTAGACATAAACTCCCGTTTCTACCACTACCATGCATGAATTGATCAACTAGTACAGATATGGGGAAACAGGAGGAAATCTCAGTGGGAGGGTCAAATGAGGCGGGGTACACTGCCCACTTGCGACATGTAACTTCGAGTCATGTAGGCGGTCTGCATCTATGACCTGTGCTGTTTGACATCTATGTGAGATAAGACTCCAGCATCGGCAAGCAAACTATTGATTTGACTTGGCACGGGTAAGTAGTCGTGGTATGAAGTACAAGGGCTATGAACTTGAAGACAGATCTAGAACAACCGAACACCAACAATAGTTCAATCGACAAGAGGGCGTAAGATATATCTCAAGTGTGACACTCCAAACCTGACAGGTAAAATATCGATCTGATGCAGCGAGAGCGGTCGTGGTATTAGGTATAAGGCTATGGAAACAGAAATACAACAACACAGTTTGAGCGCGAGGATTAGCTACAGTTGAGGATACATATACACTGAAGTTAACATCGCGATCAGCGATGCTCGCTATGAGATATCGTAGGAAGAACAACAGAGAAGGAAAGAAAAACTACACTATCGTTTCAGCGGATGCGATTAACGATGTACCATGTGGCTGGGACCTCAGTCTTTTGGCTATCCAACTCAGCCCCCACGCACCAGCTCGCCCTAAAATCCACTGCGCGATGCGCATGCCAGGTACGAGCCCTATCACATCGCGCATATCCCACACGTCACGGTGATACGTGATCTGTCCCTGCTCATTGAAGCTTAGGCGCGTGATGACACGAAGCTGTAGGTGCAGTGGTGATGGAACCGCGAATGGCGTGCCGGGAACTGGAAGCGAGGGGGTGGAAGGGACTACTAGCGAGAGCTCATGTACAGTTTCATTTGCAGATGTGGACTCGGACGTGCGCAGGGAGAGTGACTTGGGCATGTTAAAGCCCATATGCAAGTCTGGGAAGAATAGGATGTTGAGCGTGTGCTCAACGATGCTCCTTTTGTGGCCATCTACAAGGATCGTGAGAAGACTTATTATGGATGTCGAGACTAAAAGACGAACCAAAGGTCTCGCTCTCATTAAATTCTTCAATTTCTGACCAGATACGCAGGACACGAAACCAAGGGTCCGAGCTGACAGATTCTTTGACGGGGACTCGGGGTACTAGGGCGCGGAGTATCTTGGATGGTTTTGGAATGTCGACTATGGAAAGCCGGCGTACGAGTGCGTGAATATCTGCAATAAGGGTGCGGGACGTGGCGGTGATCAAAGGATTTTCATAACTTTTTGGTAGCGTCAGCATTACAATAAGCAAGAAACCGACGGGATCCTTACACTGGAGACAAAAAGTGAGCGAAAAGCAAGGAAAATATCCAATAATTTACTGACCTGCGCGAGTCTCGTAGAAGAGTTCAGCTGTATCCAGAAAGCTCGTTGACGGGGAATTATCGTATACAAAGTCGCAGACTTGATATGTAAGGGGGTTACATGTCACCATAGACAGCTCTGCATGTTTCAGGTTGGCTGGTTGCAGCTCAGACATGATTCCGGATGTTCCGGGCGTGCCTGACGTAGGGAAAGGGATTGTGGACGTCATGCCAAATGATGATTAGAAGGATATGGATGCTGATACACTGCTCGTCGTCGTGGACCACGACGAGCGGGAGGCGTGGCGGCTGGAAGGATCATTACCGTTTTTAGCCACTTCATTGGCCCAGGCCAACTCGTGAATTCGAAATTGCTCTGCTTACTGCAGAAATCGCAGTCTTTATGAAATCAATGACATCACCTTCCAGCTGGAAGGATCTCTCAGGGTCTTGCTGCGGCCCTATTCAATAAGCCTTGACGCGACGATCTGAGTACGTCGATCAGAGACACAGTTTCATTGATGCACGACCAGCAATCCACTAAATGCTACCATGTACATATACATTTCCGAACCACGCATTATAATATCGAACCCGTAAGCCTCATATCACGTTTAAATGAGTGAAGCCATCAGAAGAAGAAGCAAACCGCAGTCAATGTTCACTTGTTGGCAGGAGAGGAATCATCCGTGGACGGGAAGAACTCGCTATCCTCAAGGTGGCAAGTTTCAACTACTGCGGACACCTGATAATTCATCGTGTTAAATCTATACGTAGTGACCCCGAACCAGGAGAAGACTCACATCTAGGAATTCCGGATATCGTTTTTCCGTGTTCTTTTTCTTTCTAATGCACTGGAGGGGAGTTGTGAGCTACCGCGATACCGGACAGGCTAGAAACAGATAACTAACCTGAAGCAATGAGCGTACGACAGAACGACGTGGGGGGTTGGATGAAGGGTTGGACTAAACATGCATGAGGGGAAATTCACGTGGTATCAGGAGACCAAGAACATACCTGCATGTTTTCTATGATTCCCAGAGTTGGAGAAGAGTTTGACACCTCGATACGTCGAAGCAGCAAGAGAGATTATGAGCTGAGGTTGTGAATAAACTCGGGAAAAAACATGGTGGCTTATATGCGAGACAGCAAGGTCCAAGCATATTGTGCAAAGTAGAAGCGTGAAGGTTTGAGTACGTGGGGAAGAATGATAGCTAAACAAGAGTCACCCCAACGAGTCTAACTATAAGTCTGAATGAAGAAGACAGTAAGACAATGGAATAAAAATGCGGTTGCGTACGATAGTCACGGTGTTCTGACAGATGGTCATCTTTGGTGAAATGCGGATCCTCGAAACATCACCCAGAAGGCTTAGAATGAAAGCCCACGTTTATCTTCGATCGATTGTACTGTTTCGAGGGTGAACTAATGGACAAATCCGTTGTATGAATAGCGGGTGTTTCGTTCATGGGTAGGTTGGCTCATCCGAGTCATGCGCATCGGTGAGACAAAATGGCGCATGCGATAGTTCGGTGAGAAATGGGAATGATCGTCGATTACCCTAGATAATCCATTCGGAAAAAAAGTCTGGGAGTAATTTCAAAGGAACCCTTCATCTGGTATAGTAGGCGCCAGTACCATACGGTCCATACCTGGCACTGACAGCGCAAGCAACAATCGCAGTGGGTGGGCTATGCCAGTCTGCTCAGTCCATCATATTGCAAACACCGCTCTTCCCCTGCGAATGCCGTTTTTGTTGATGTTTCCAATGGTACCACAAGATCCAAACATGTGAGCGGGTGAAGGACAGCGCTACCAGCATCGGAGTCCAAGTACGGCATTGAGCCTGCCAGGGGCCCCTACGCGGCTGAAGGTCAACTTACATAATTTCACTTCAGCCTTTCAAAGTATCGATGACTTAGCACCTGCACAACCGCTATGTAAAGCCTACAACTTGCAATTGTAAGTGTCCATGGATCCCGCTGTATTTATAACCTGGACCTTATCCAAATCATTTCATCCATCCTCTATAACTTCAAATTCAGCTTGTATTGCACCCGATTGCATCCAAGTACGATGGCACTACAGAAGTTCAACTTGAAGGGTCAAGACCAGCCGGTAGCTTATACGGCACGGAAATAATTACATGAGCGAAATTTGAGGTTCAAGGAGATTTCCAGAATAGTCGGAGACTGGTGCTGGCTCGCGCTGTACCGGCCCTACGGTACGATTTGAGTACGTGCTGCCAAGACATTTTGCTATGATTACTTACTTTGATTGTTTACTTTTGCATCGCACTTGAGCCATAGAGGTACTTAGGTACATGAGCCTACAAGTTAAACTCACTCCAAGCTCACCCACATGCGTCAAGAGCTCCGCCGTATTCTGATGCGGTTGTCTCCGGTCGATGTGCTTTTATTCTATCAGGTTCGGAGCAGAAGTCGATCTTTTGAGTTACTGCGTGGTGCCTTGTAGCATTGACAACCATGAGTAGTGGCGTGTGTCGCAGGTCTTGTAGGTGTTTATCTTGTCGGGCGGAGCAAAATCCGACCTTTTTTTAGTCCCCTCCCTTGATGTGCCCCTGTGGGGCTGATATCGTCGACAGTCCTGGGACTGACATGTATGATTTGACTTTCCGCTTATCATCTCCACTCCGACGCACGTTACTAATGATCAGCAATATAAAATGGCCCCTCTTTGCCTGACTTTTTCCTCCAGCAATCCGCTCTATTATCAACTGCCTCACACACCAGGTGAGTTTGTCTCACTCGGATATGAGTCCCCTTGACCATGACGCGACTGACACTGTCTTGCAGCTTAACCGCACTTACCACTATCATCATGTTCAACACCAACACCGAGCAATGCAACTGCACCTCCACGTGAGTTTTGCCTTGCGACGTTTTGATGACTAGATTCTGACTATCTATCAACAGCTGCAACTGCCAGGTCGGTAGCTGCAGCTGCAAGAACTAGATACCACGCGCAAGTGCACCTGCCTTGCCGTGTATATAAACACATATATCAGCCGTTTGACGTGACTTGTACTATTGTCTTGAAATGCCAGCTGCGAACTTTTTCTAGTAAAGCGACGTTCTCTTGATAAAGCTGATAGTAAAGACCATAAGTCATTGTCCGGAATTCCGAATCGCCGAAGTTCAAAGTCCCCGAGTCAAACTTTAGGTGTGAACACACCGATAGTATAGCCAAACAATATCAACACGGCGTTACAAAAAATGATTAATGGCCTAAAACTGCCCTCGCCCTGGACTGGTAACCAACCTGACTATGCATCAACTTGAGATGGTGAGGTTTCAAATTTCATCTGTGGTAGCATACGGCAGGCTGGTCACGAGCATAGCTGGTGCCAGGTTCAACTCGTTGCTTTCCTCTGAGTAGGCTTGTAACCAGCCTGGCTTATATACCACGGACAAGCGTCGAGCACTTGACATCTCAATGACGTAGTAAAGACTTCTGGCTATATGCGGTCGACCTCAATAGATGCAGAAAATAGATGACGAAGAAGCCTAGCCTTCGTTTCTTCTCGCAACGACTCTATTTGCAGACCATGAATGACGCGTTCCAATTGGATAACATAGACTGACCGATGGCAACATAAGAGCTTCAAACAACATACCTTGGATCATGCCTCCTGCTATGGTGATAGAACTGTTTGATTGAAGAGCCGTGTACAGAATTATCGTCTTGTAACAACTTGAACATCAACCGATCCAGACTGACTGACCGGAGAAAGAGTTGCATGCAGGTAAACGAATCTCTTGACGATTCTCTGGTACATCTCAACAGTATGCCACCCAATCACCAAATCCCTCGCCGAGTGTCAACCACAACGAATGGCAAATCGGCGGAGAAATTTGTAGTGCCATCCAAGATGGCAAGGCTCGAGACGGCTTGCAATGCATAGGACCTCGGCGAAATCACTGGACCAAAGATTGGGAAGCAACGGTGACATTCACACCTACAAGAACATAATGCGAGAATGTCATAAACCCCAATTTTTGGCTGTGATTGTGGACAATTCTTGATTCCCAATTGAGCGGAGATGCCATATCATAATCGACAGTTCCTATTGCTCAGCAAAACAATCTCCAACTCACAATCTCCTACCCAGAATCGCTAAAATGTTATGCCTGTATCAGTAAGTCTATCAGTAAGCCTCACCCCAGCACATCAACAGCCTCTACATGTAACCGATCACTGACCCTCTTCTCCATCTTGCTCATCTGAGTCGTCTCCTTCCGAGCCTTCTTCAGTCCGAAAAAATCTAGGCTAATACCACCGGAGTTCGTTCTCTCTTCCCCATTTTCGCCAGCTTTGATGTGCTCCTCCGCTGTCCTGCAAAACCCCTCTAGAGTCGTGAACGGGCCATGATAACCCAATCCACCCTTTTCAGGCGGCAATCGAGCTCTGGAATCGTCGAAAATGAGGTGTACACATGCGAGCGCAAACAAAGATGGTTGTAGATTGATGGTATCTCCGACGATGTTGGGTATAAAATGTGTGAGCGCACGTCGCACAGGCGATGAAGATGTTGACAGGAACGTGCGCGAGAGGTAAAGGGCTTCTATGATATGCGATATGAAAAGCATAACGGTAGGTGACATCTCTGCGAACGTAGTTTCAGGAACCAGTGTCGTCAGTGCTACGCAGAGATCGCCATATGTGACTGGTGGACCAGTATCCGTGATAGTAAATGCCTGTCCACCGAGGTCAGGGTTGGATCCTCCTCTTGCAGTTTCAAGGAGACGTGCTTCATAGCAGAGGTGGGCCAGGGCGCAGTTTTCCACGTACACAAAAGATTGCATGATATTAGAAACCCAGGTGTAGTTGTACCTGCGTATTAGGTAGGCGCCACATATTTGATCTCCACCGGGGCCAAACACGCCATTTCCAGGGCGAATACACCCCGTCCGCAGGATCCTCTCTCCAGATCGAGATCCATCAGCAGCTCTCACCGCTCTCTCTCCAAGGACCTTGGACGCAGCGTAGTTTGAGAAAAAATGGTGGTGGTATTTGGGAATGAGGTTATCGTCATTGATTACTTGTGCAAAGTACTTGGGATGCTTCTCCCAAGGCCATAGCCAAAAGCGAGATCTGCGGACAGAGATAGATCCAGATGAGGTATACACCAAGACCGTGACACCTATGGATCGTGCTGCGTTGATAACATTTTGAGTCCCTTCATGGTTGACTTTGGAAGAACGCGGAAATAGTGCGAGATGACGCTCATAAAAGCGTATGTTGGCGGCAGTGTGAAAGACTGTGACCTCTGGTGCCGTCTCTAAGGAGTCAGAATCTGGCCATGGCGCTTGGAACGCATCATCCACAGCCTTCGCGTTAGATATATCTGCTTGGAAGAAAGCAACCTGTGTGGCCAAGCCGGTGCACAGATCTGAACGAGTTGGACGGCGGATGTCGATGATTCTAATGTTCTTTGGGTCTTCGCCACGTTGCAGAAGTTGGATAATAATCCAGCCGCCCAAAAAACCAGCCTATACCCCAAATGTCAGCATTGACGTCAAAGCGCTAGATGCAATTAATAGGGTTATTTACACCAACTACGATATACCGACGTCCGGTCTTTGCTGGGAGTATATCCTTTACAATTTTCGGGGAGTTGCTAAGCTTTTCAGCAGTTCCACGGACGACGTGCGGTGTGAACCGGTTGGGTGCGAACGCTGTGACCTCCGACGGAAGGTGGGACAATCCTTGGTCATTGAAACGAACATATAGATATGTGAGCAGCACGATCCCTGCCAACACGCTGAGCAGAGATAACATTACTGGTGGAGGGATGAGTGTGAAACTTGCTCGGGAAGCGCGCCGTCGGATTCAGATGCATGGAAATTAAACTACAATGACATATACGCTAGAGGCTCGGAAAAAATGTACATTAAGACCTCCGTCAGCCCGTGAGAACTTCCCACGCCATAGGGGTATGCTAAATGTGGTAATTTCAGCTAGCCAAAGAGTTAACTATTGGGACACTTATTGAGCAGCGCAGAATGACATTCGACACGCGAATGCCACAACAAGCCTTCATAATACCTTGGGGATACAATTCAAGAGACTTCTTTTGAACATTCACGCACAAGAAATCGCTCACAAGAATATTGTGTGCACAGACGGTGACAGACTGCACGCCCCTCGTTTCAGAGCTTCCGGTTTGAAACTCCAATACAATATTTTCTCATTTTCTCAGAAGTGCTCCTGGTGTAATTGTTGCTACAGACGTTTCACACTCTGCTGGTAGCTGATGCCGGAGAGGTTAATTGGGGGGATAAACTGAAATAAATTTGAAGGTGTGGGCTTCTAATAATAATGCTACTCGCAGACCCCTCCTTTACTTGTCCCTCCAGCAGTGGTGAGAAGGATCCTGGACACAACTTGGGATCACGGTTTCACTACAATCTTCAAGGCGGTTCTACTGTTCATTTTATCAAGTGCCTGCTGATATTCGCTGATCTTGAACACGTCAGTGACCTAGAAAACATTAACATTAATGTGGTCGGCCAAGTTAAGAGTACGGTTCACGCATACCATGCCCTTTACTTTCACTTTACCACTGTCAAGGTACGCTACGGCTCGAGGGAAGCAATGAGTTTGAGCAAATGAACCAATGATCTGCTCGAGTTATAAGCAAGAAATGAACAATAAGGATCATTCCACACACCTTGATCTCATCCCCAAATATCTTGGAAGGGGACCAGTGAACACGAGCGCTATCAGAGTAGACGCCGTAGATCATGAGAGTACCGCCCCGCCGGACGTAATTGATGGAGTCATTCGCGACCTCCTCATTACCAGTAGCCTCAACCTATAACAATTAACTTCTAGTTCGATTTAGGTATCTATTCCAGCAAATCACTTACGACCACATCAAACCCATACGGATGGTTCTTCCTTAGTTGTTCCCACTGAGGTGCAGGATTTTCTCTATCAAGCTCAACATACACGTCACCAGCCCCTAGATCCTGTGCAATCTGAGTCTTAATGCCCTTGTTGGCAGCAATAACAACGTTGGCAGCGCCGTTCAGTTTGAGCAGTTGTGCGAGAATCAACCCGGTAGGACCAGCACCGATCACCAAGGCATCGATGCCTACGGGCGCGTTGAGCTTATCCATCCCGTGAATTGCGCAGGCAGCAGGTTCGACAAGCGTTGCTTCTTCATCGGTGAGGTGCTCGATCTTGTAAGTCTTCTTAGCCTCGCTGCACAAATGAGCAATCGTGTAAGATGTGTGAGTTTAGTAATGGTGAAGCTCACAATACGACATATTCAGCAAATCCTCCTGCCATCGTGACTCCTTTGCCGTTGAAGTTCTCACATAGTAGAGATTGTCCCCGTCTACAATAGAAACATGTCTCGCACTGTGGAGTTGTCAAGTTGTGCTCTCAATGTACCGGAGAATTGAATTTACGGTAACCCCTGGGTCGGCAACGCATCGGTCACCTTCAGCGAACCCTGTGACGTTACAACCGACTTTAGCGACTCTCCCAATTACTTCGTGACCAGGGATTAGCTGTGATCGGCAAATCACTCTAAAAATACACTTGAATTAGCTGTTGCGAACACTCACAGGAAACTTCGCGATGAATTCTCCCTCGTGTACATGCCCGTCGGTTCCGCATATGCCTGTGGGTGATTCAAATTCATGCGTGGAATGTACAAGGGTGCCGTGCGTAGAGCTTACCACAGCATGAGACTGAAATAATCAATATCAGAACCACTGTAACTTAGCAGAAGCAAGCTACCAGAAGTACGCACCTTTGATCAAGAGCTCATCGTCATTTATTGTGGGAATCGGTACAGTTTGCATGCTGAATTGCCGCGGCTGATTCAAATGAAATGAGTAGGAATGTATCATGATAACATGAAACTCACAGCTTTGTAGCGGACAGCGTTCATGGTATCCATTAGTTTTCCTGCGAAAAGAGGTATTGCCAAATATCAACGATAGAAAGCCTTTGGTGAGAGGTTACAGTGGAAGATCAACCTGGGAGATATGGTTGATGCCCTTCGTCTCAGAACTTTTGTATTGTATAATATTATACAATAAATCGGTCAGGCAGGAAGGTCACCTGAGTAATTTTGGCCGCCTCGGGTGGTAATACAATGAAATCGGCCCGCCCGGATGTGGATGCATGCGGTGTATAAACAGCTTGAGGCTCGAGCTTGAGAAACGAGTATGACACAAGTCGAACCTAAGCTGATGCTACAGCAATGCACTCCTGGCTAGTGTTGCGGAAGTCCGGTTTGGTCCGGTTCAGCAACAAATTTTGCGAACGCTGAACCGGACCTCACGTCCGGTTCAATCGTTTGCTGAACACTGAACCGGACGCCATGAACGCGTTCATGGCGTCCGGTTCACGTCCGGTTCAGCGTTCGAACATCGAACGCATTGTAAATATACTCGATTGTACTATAGCTAGTAGTAAGGAGTACTAGGTACACTACTATGAAGCAGGCTCGGAGGGGGTGATGCCGTCGATATCTGTCTCATGATCCATGTCAGTAGCTGCATCTGTAGTTACCCCGTTATCCTGGTCTCCTTCACAGTCACTTTCCCCCTCAGAGCCCTCACTCGTGACCACTGACCTGCTAGCCTTGCATTTGCGCAAGACAGCGTTGTTGGGGTCAACAAGCTTGGGTGCAGGGCGTGGGATACGAGTTGAGCAATGTGCCTGAGCGGGAAGCACAGGCAGTGGAGTATCTGTTAGAAAGTATGCTCAGCGTTGGTGAACAACAACTATATTCACTATAAAGTACCTGTTAGAAAGTACAGCTATGACTCAAGTAAGTGCGAGATCGAGAACAAGATAAACAAGACGCATACCTCAGCGTCGGTGAACAACAACTGAGGGACGCAAACAATGATGCGACAAGATACTTGTAGGATACAGTGAGACGGAGCTCGAATGTCAAGAAGAGTGTAACCATATGATGCCAAGGATGAAGCATGTGCTACGAAGTGGCGAGGTTGACCAATAGCCAAAAAAAAAAACAATGTTAATCTGTCCGAATGCAGGGAATGACTCTCCTTCTCTCCAACACACCCCCTCAACCTGCCACAAGTGAGAGACCTGCACGATGAGCAACGAACGTAGGACGTGGAAGAACTTTGGTGAAGATGTCGGCACTGTTGCGATGAGTGGAAACCCAGATGGGTAGGAAGGTGCTGGCTTCGATGTGCTTGCGGATGAAATGATAGCGTAAGTCAATGTGCTTCGTGCGGATGTGGTTAGCAGCCTCCGTGGACAGCGCGATAGTGCCCGTATTGTCAGCATAAAGCTTGAGAGGCAGTGTGAAGGTGATTTTCAAGCATTCGCAGAATGACTTGATCAAAGTCCATCCTGGATAGCCCCCGTCAATGCCATGTACTCGGACTCCACGGAAGACAACGCCTGAGTGGACTGCTTCTTCGCTGCATGCGAAATGGGGCCGCCATGATAGTACCAGACATATCCAGTGATGGAAATGCGATCTTCGGGACATGTGGCCCAGTCTGCGTCACTGAATCCGTGAATGGTGGTGTCCGCGTTCTTTCCGCCGTAATGCACGCGATAGGACAGGGTGCCAGAGAGATAACGAAGGACTCGTTTTGCAGCTGCATAGTGACGAAGTTCGGGGGCGGAATTGTGTTGTGACAGCTTCATGACGGCGAGGGCAATATCTGGGCGGGTGTACATTGCGAGATAGAGTAATTCCCCGACTGAGCTTGCGATATTCAGTTGGGAGATTGTCGACATGAGGATGAACGTCGGTGTCTTGTCCGAAAGGGAATGCTGGATCCATAGAGAGTGAGACGGGATTACACTGACGGAGGCCATGCTCCTCGAGAAGGTAAATGATGTACTCCTGTTGATGCATCCATAACTCTCGAGTAGCACGTGAACGGACGTACTGAACACCTAAGTGCTTGACGACAGGTCCCAAGTCTGCGATTCCGAAGCGATCTGCAATGCAACCCTTGATCCAATCAAGGTACTTGCGATTGTTGCAGCCTGCAAGGCCATCATCAACGTGCCATGCAATGATGCATATGACATGCACCCCCTCGCTGTTGACATGGTCATACACAAAGACAGCATAATCAGCCTTGCAGCGGAGAAACCCCAAACGGATGAGAACCGCACGCAAGAGCTCATACCAGTCATATGCAGCTTGTTTCAGCCCGTAGAGCGAGGACAGAAGATGGCATACCAGACTTGCCCCATTCTCAAAGCCAGGCAGCTGGCGCATATAGACATCTTCACGCAGCTTGCCCCACAGGAAGGCACACTTTGCGTCGAAGCTGTCAATTTCCCAGTCGTGAGCAGCTGCATGTGCAGAAAGGAGGCGAATGGAGGATGGTCGTGCGACAGGTGCAAATGTTTTTCTGAAATCGATGCCAGGTACCTGTGAGAATCCTTGTGCAACAAGACGGGCTTTGTGCACAGGCCCACCTTTTGCGTCTTCCTTGAACTCCAGAACCCATCTACATCCTATCACCTTGCGCCCCGCTGGAAGCTCCACCAATTCATAGACATTCATCTCTGACATTAAGTTGATCTCCTTGCGCATGGCGTTAAGCCAATCATTGCAGTCTGAGCGTTGCATTGCTTCATCAAAAGTGGAGGGCGGGATCTTCATGTTGTAGTCTGGGGTGAGTGGATTCCTTCGAGTGTCGCTGCGAATGGTAACACACGCAAATTCAGTGGCGATAAGGTTGGCGAGCACACGGGGATAGCCAACTTCATCCTTGTCTGGGACAATGGCATCAGGGTCAGCAGCCACGTCATTAGCCACGTCAGCGTCACGCTCAGCATTCACCCCCTCAAGAGGCACCCCCTGAATGCGTGCTTGATGCAACTCACGCTGGCGGGCCAGTCTGTCACGGTCAGATGCCAATTGTTCTTGGAATATTTGCCCACGTGCAGTGGGCAAACGAACACGATCCGAATGACGAGCTTCAGTGGGCAAGGGTGGAGGTGCAGCGGTCGGAGAGGAATGTGCAGGAGTGGAGGGAATGGCAGGAGACACAGCAGGAGCCACTGCTGCGTCCTCGTCATCAGAGTCCTCACCGTCCGTTGGAAAAGGGCGACCGGAGAATGTTTCATCAAAGATGACATCGTGTGAGTTGAAGAAACTGCCGGTTGCTAGATCACGACAACGCCAAGCATGTCCACCAGGTGCATAGCCCATGAAGATGGCCTCGCGGGATTTCGGACCCAACTTCTGTTGGAGCTCAGAGGGGATACGTGCGAAGCAGCGCGCGCCAAAGACTCGAATGTGTGAAAGATCAGGCTTCTCTTTGTGTAGCATTTCATAGGGTGTTTTCCCGGCGGGTAGTGCACGAGACTCAGTGCGATTGAATAGATACACTGCTGTTAGGGCTGCTTCTCCCCAGAGATTCCGTGGGAGGTGTGCGTAGTTCAACATTGCGTACATGCGCCCCTCGATTGTGCGAAGGACACGTTCCGCCCTGCCGTTTTGCTGATGGGAATACGGTGCGGAGAGCTGACACTCAATCCCAGCTGCTTGCAGTTCAGCGGTAAATGCATCATTGAGAAATTCACCACCGTTGTCTGAGCGGAAAGCAACAACGTGCAGACCAGAACGTGTTTCCCATTTTGTGCGAACTGTGCGCCATGCCTCTAGAGCTTGATCCTTGTTTGCCAGAAGCTGGAGGTTCAGAATGCCAGTGTGATCATCGAGGAATATGATGAAGTAGTGTTTGTGATGAGGAGTGACAACCGGAATGGGACTGCAGACATCTGAGTGAATCAGCTCAAGGAAACGGGAGGCAGGAGGCGACTGTGACGTGGGATGCGGCTGTCGCGGATGTTTGCCAATGATACACGATTCACAGCGTGTCATTGCTGCATCAGAGTCGAGGGAAAAACCTTGAGCAATGTGAGGAAGGCGACGGACGGACTCTCCTCCGGTGTGACCCATGCGAGCATGCCAGAGGTCATAAGTCAGCGGAACACGCGCAAATGCAGAAACCTCAGATGGTTCAGACACTAGAGGTGTTGACTGAGGAGGGGGAATGAACTCAAGGTCTACATAGAAGAGATGTCCCGACATGGGAACAGCGCCGAGAGTTGTTCCTTTGTACACAAGCTCACAGCGAGCAGGCTCACCCCAAAAATTGCAGTCCCATCCCTTTGCTAGCATCCACCCAACCGAGAGAAGGTTTAATATGGCCCCAGGCGCATGAAGACAGTTTGTGAACCGTACTCGATGACGAGCACCACCTATCTTAAGCCATGCAACACAATCTCCGCGACCAGACGTATGAAGCGACCCATGGTTTGCTGTTTTGACAATGACAGGATCCTGGGTAGAGTAAGTCCAGAACATAGCGTGATCACTGATAAGAGTGCTGGTGGTGCCAGAGTCAAGAATGGTGGATAATGCGTGAGTGTTTGCTGAAACATCATCATCAGGGACCTCATCAGGTAACTCCTCAATGCCTGCGCAGGAAAGATCATGTGTGTGTGTGGCAAGCGCAGTGATGGGAGGAGTTGGCACCGATGATGTCGTCAAAGGAGTGGAAGGTGTGCTCGTTGCAACTGCCGTAGTTTCCTTCTTCTTCTTCTGCTGCCAGGGCGCCTGTCCTGCCATACCTCCACCTTTGCGGAAACAATGTTCCTTATCGTGATCTCCGCGCCCGCATCCAGTCGTCAAGCAAAAGACTCCCTGAGGGTTGTTCTTGTGCTTCCTCAGCCCAGTGATGGAGTTGACATTGGAGGCAGATGTGGTAGAGGCAGAGTTGGCGTACTCGGATCCAGGACCAGATGCAGTTGTGGGTTGGATGTTGACCATGCGTGAGGCCTCTGCAGTGATGCGCGCTGTGCAGCTCTCGAATGTGAGTGTGTTCGTCTGGAACGAAGCAGAGATGGGAGTCCCACTGCTGAGCGCAGAACTGATGACAGTAGCAGAGAAGCTGTCATGCATGCATTGCTCGAGTTGCATGTGGAATAGTTGCCACGCAGAAGACGAAGGCAGCCCAGAAAGGATATTGAACACTGCTTCCTCATCAGAATAGGCAGCACCCATACCAATAAGACAATCGCGGCAACTGATATGCTGACCGACATAGTTGTTCGCATCATGTGCGTCTTTCATGCGAAGTGCCTGAAGACGTCTTCGGACAACAAATTGAGAACTGACGTCGTTACGATGGAAGTGGTCCTTGAGGATTTTCCATGCC